TGAATGCCAAATTTTGTATATTTACTCCCATTCAGAGTTAATTCTACAGGAAGTAGAAGCATGCTTGTAAATATATTGCATATCTTCTGGTCCTCCTTGAATGTACTGTCTGGTAAATTACTGTCCACCTACTTCATGTATCAATAACCCCTATTAACGTCCCGGTAACTTTGTAAACCATCTGCTCTGCCCCATAGTTTTGAAATGTAGTCGAAGGTGCATAATTCACTTGGAAATTTTAAAAAATAAATTCTGGGCTATTTGTCTAAGATTTTAGCCTCTACTAAAATGGAGCTACTTGATTATTTTAGGTCTAATTTGTTTTGTTTTTTATCAAAAGTGTTCTTGTAAACATCTCCGCTTACTTTTAGTGTTGTAACTTTTAAATACCCAGAAACCACACTTAACTGCGACACCCTCTCGTTTCACTTCATGTTTTTCAATTTGTAGATGTAAACAGCAGTTGTTTGCCTGTAGCTTTACGTCACGTTTTGGAATTTTTACTTCGCAATCCCAAATGTGTGTATATATGCACTTTGTAGGATGTCAGATCCCAAGTGCTCATGTGGTCAGTCATTCAAAGAAGCCGCCCCGTGGTCAAATGCCAATTGCTTTGTCGTAGTGACTGGAGCTAGTCGAGGATTTGGCAGGGCCTTTTGCATACAACTTTTGAAGGAGGTGGCGGAACCGCGCACGGGCCACTGCCCCCCCGCAATATCACTTACCTATTTCCTACTAGGCCGCGATATGAAGGCACTCTGTGAAACAGAGAGTGAGGTAGGTAACTCCCCCCATACCACTTTAATTTATGCACACTTTCACAACCCTTTTATTACGTAACCTTGATTGATATGCTCTGTGATCAGAACAGATTTGCGCTCGATGATTAGTGGTGTTACCGTCATAATTAACTAGATGTGAAATTCAAGATATTTGAAGAGGATTCTGGTAATTGCGGTTTCGATTTCTGCCTAGAATAGCCTTCCTAGGTTGACGATAATGATTCGTCTTTTATTAGTTCCATACTTGGTTGTTTCTGTGTCATTATGTTAAGTTTTATAGATGAATTGTCACACAACAAATCTAAACTTGGTAAGTCTGTAAGTGAGCGGTTAAATTGAGGCCTAATGATAGGATTTGGAAACATCTAATGCAAGGTTACCTGATTGCCAACTACCGTAGTTAAACCATCGGTTATAAGGCAAAAAGCGTAAGTAGACTACCTTAGAAAACTCATCTGTAGGAAATATTCCGAACAGGTCTGCTTCAAGAGGATTAGTATTATGAGTCCCCCCACTTTTCAATGGCTCCCTCACACACACCTCATCCTCTTTTGACCTTATAAACACAGTACAAATTTTCATCACTCAGTGTAGATTGAGTAAACCGTCCTGTTGCCTTTTCACCCCTCTTCTTTGTTCCCGAGTTATTTCGGTGCTAACAAAAAGTCTGGGTTGCGAAGCATCTGTGCACCGTTATAATTGGTGAACCCACCGTGATATTGTTGACTAAAATCCTCAACAGATCGGTGATATCCTTTTTCTATGAAGAGTTGGTAACTGTGACATAGGTGCCCCTAATTCGTCTTCTGCGAGTGACCGAAATGGATCAAAGCGTTCTCTGCTCTACGGTCCTTCTCCATCAGGATCAGAATTCAGATGCATTTTGCCTAACGACTGTCGAGTAAGTACTCTCGGACCTGTCCGAAAAGGTCGACAACCCACGCGCCTAAAACAACAGAGGCAAAGTTGCCTCTTAAATAAGGACACCTCATCCCCAGCCTACCTCAATGACGATTCTCTCTCGCCTTGCTCAACTCACTAGAACTTGTCTAGAAGCAAATTTGCTTCTATCTTGGACGGATATTGCTTTGCTGCAATGACTTTTAATATCGTTGGTCTTTTAGTTTTTACACAAACCCCCCTCGTAATTAGGTCAACCGCTTATACCTCTTGTCAATTTGCTTATGAGCTGTGATGTTCTGCGAGCCTTCACCGTGTTCCATCACCATCGCTCTCGGGGAGAAATTCTGTAGCTGACTGTCAGCAAAAGCTAATGGGTAGAGGATTGTCCGAACAGGTTAATCCCAATGTGATTAGCTTCTGTGGTTCCTCTTTATTTTTCATTAAATCCCACTTACAACTAATCCTCCCTGTACTCTTTGAAAACGCCAACACACACAGTACAATTTCACATCATGCCTGGTGTTTTAATATACGGTCCTGTCGCCATTTGTCCTGTTTTTGCTCTTGGGTTCTGTGACTGTAAATGACAAGTAGGGGTGTAAAGTGTAATCCAGGGGATTAAAAAACACGCTATTTTAATGCCTAGCGGTTTGAGTAGTTAGTTGACGAAGTTATCTATTTGATAAAAAGAGTATTTCGTGGGCTCATTTATGACTTCCCCCGTTCGATTAGTACACTTTTTTTTCAGTTGCAGTGCTATGCTACCGAACCCTATAGGCTTATTTAACGTTTTCAGGTTTCTTATGTGCTATTGTGGCGTATTCAAGCATTAACTTCCCATAGTCGTGTGGTCGAATAAGTCTGCGTGCTTTGCTTTTATTTTTCCATATCTTGAAAGTCATTAGCTGGAGTTAAGAGGCACATCTGCTAAGTTATTTTTGGAAGCAGACGAACGATGACTCCTCTACTATTCGAGTACTTTTACGGATACTGAATGAAGGCTCATTTTATCTATCTAGATTATTGCGTCAATTCCGGGAAATGGCACAACAAGCGTTGCCGTTTACTTCGATGGTGGGGAACAGTTGGATATGAATGCAGTTGATGCTGTAACGCTTTCCAACACCCTACAACCCATCTATGATGCAATGGCCAAGTGCGCCAGTAGTGGTCAGCCTCAGTGGAACCTTCTTGTTAACAATGCTGGCACCCTGGGCAACATAAAAAGCCGCGCAGATGAAAATCTCTGTTTAGTGGATCTAGAGAAGTACTTTCGTGTAAACCTCTTTTCTCAGATAATTCTCACAAACGTTTTTCTGCATCACGTTGCCCCGGTGGCTCCCGCTACAGCGGGAGGACCCTACCACCCGCCCACCACGATCTTAACCGTCTCCAGCCTCGCAGCAGTCAAGCCTCTTTCGCACATGTTGACGTACTGTTGCGGCAAAGCTGCGCGTGACATGCACCTCAAGTGTTTGGCGGTCGACCGTCCCTCCATTTCCGCCTTTGTCTACTCGCCGGGGCCACTACTCACCGCGATGTACGATCAAATGGAGAAAGAACAAGGGGACATGAAGACACGCGCCTGGTTTAAGGAGCGACGGGAACAGGGCCTCGTTATTCAGCCAATGGAATCTGCACGGATGTGCATTCGATGGCTCAGACGACAACGGTTCTCATTGCAAACTGGGGAAATTCAGTTCCCAGCTCGTGTCTGTCCGGTGCACCAAGCGGACTATAAGGAGCTGTGGAAGGGGCAGCATTTGGATTACTTTGAGGCCAGAGACCTGGAAGAGGCAGAATTCAACCGGATTGGCCTTTAGATATTTAATTCAACAATCTTTGAAGATGGGATTCACGATAGTTCCATGTAACAACCAGGGATTACTTTTATATTCTTAAAATCATCAATTTCTTCTTTTGCCCTATATTTCTTCTTCTTTGTGAACGTCCATCCATCTACCATAATTCCATTCAGTTCCAAAGATCCATTACCTATTTTGTAGTGGTGCTCCACGTTTTCAAGATTACTCGTCTTTATGGTGTTTCGGTGTTTGCATGCCCGTCAGGATCTAAGCATATTTATATACCGCTTCTGTTCTACGTTGATTGTGTGTGTCATGTTGCGCATTAGTAGAACCCAAACCACACTAGGATCTCGAGAGTGCCATCTGTTAAGTAACCAAAGGTATTTTTATGAGTAATCCCAAATTTAGGTACTGCTGCTGTGTTGCGAATATCCTTGACGGTAGCGACACACGTGTGTGGGCTACCGCGCTTTTAGGTAATGTTGTGGGTTACGAAACTTGGCTTCATGTGGGAATGACGATTCCGGATGCCCTAAGCTTACACGCGTGACATTTCATGTCCAGTGAGTTGTGGCATAAATCCATCCTGCTTGTTCAATGAGTAGAGTAAATGCTTATAAAAACCATCAGCAGTTGTATTTAATCTCATTTAAATCATCGCACCTCAGAGACACCTTGAATTTAATTGCAGTGAATGAGCTTTAGTGTCATCGCAGAAAATGCGAAGCGTTGTCACTGGAAAGAAAGTTTGCATTGGCCTTATAAAGGGTTATTTTGTTTGTGGAGCTCAATGGCTCCACCCTTCGGATCCAAACCCCATCACCAAATACCTTAATGTTAGTAAAGCTATAATTAGTGGTGATTGTCACCCGATGACAAGTGAGAGTGGCTTAGTCTCCTATGTTCTCGTCGTTTCGTTTCGAGATTTTTATGAAAGGGCAACCTCATGAAGCAAAATACTTATTTGCAATCACATAATTAGTGGATGGAGTTATGTCAAGTTAGCCACTGGATCTTGCTACCAAAGTACACCACTAATTCCTGTATGAAAATAGCGGAGTAGGTAATGAAAGAAATTAGATTTGTCTTAGATAAAGGATGAAATGCATTCCCCAGGTAAAACGCCAAATCTCAGGGATATAAGGAGTCGAAAAAGCTGTTTAATATTAGTTAAATCGTTTGTGTTACTACGAATCTTAATCAAAAAGGCATGTAACGTTGCAAAAGCCTTATTCTTTTGTAATTTTCTTCTGATATGCCCAGCACTACATTGTTGAGTTTATCATCCTCCAGATACCTGGAGTTTTAAATGAGGAAGTCTCTCTGAATTTACATGTAATTCATGTTGATGACACCAAAACGAAATGATTAAGTTTTAACTAACTGTTTTGTTGCTATCTTACCGTACGTAGCTGATCACTAAGCATTGGTTTGCAAGCTGTTGAGTCCACTAACTTGCGCACGTTCGAGCCCCACTCTTGCTGACCCCAAAACTCAAAAGTCTGACATGTGAATGAACGTGTCTCTTCACCATCTACTGGGCTCAACCGATAGATATCCAATTCCGATTAAAGCGAAGAAATTAGTTAAATGACTCAGAAACAAATTTGACATCCCTAATCGGAGCCGTAAAGTACGGTACATGGGGTGAATATAAGCTATGTTTATTTGCGAACGCACAAATCCAACAGTTAGTCCAGCCTGCTCAATTCGACAATCATAAGTAAGGGTCAAATTAAAGCAGTAAAATTTATTCGAGGTTGCCTGTGCGTATCTCCGCCCATTTTGGATAAGAGGAAGCTTTTTGGTTACAATGATTTTATCTCCTATTAGTAAAATTTGTTTTACAAGTTACCGACAAGTCAATCGGAACATTCTTAGTCCTACGTCGAAAGACAAGGATGAAGATCTGTGCTTGGCTGCCACAACAGATCAAAATTTTGCAGTGGTAAAAATAAGCAACCTTGATTTACAAAATTTATTTTTAATGACTAGTGCGATTCGCCTCTGGTTAGACGTAGCTGGCCTCGGTAAATCTACTAGACGTGGAACCAGAGTTTTAGTAAGTAAGTGCTGTTTGCAAAGTTGAGATGGCCAACTAGAGAGATAAATTCAACTTTCCTCTATTATTAGATTCTTGCTTGATCTTTCATAATATGTTTGTTCACCGACCTGACTTGGAAATTAAGAACGGAGCTCAAGTTAAGTACGTACCATAAAAAGCGAGACCGGAGTTTTAATCATATGAAATACGACCGGAAAGATCCGGCCAAATCAAGGTGAACACTAGAACTCTATGCTGTGAACTGGTCGATGACACTGCGGCTTTGGTCATGCCAAGCCATCGTAAGAAAGTCATTGATGCTGTCGCAAATCAGTTGAATTTAAGTGCATCAAAGTTGCTAAAAGAGCTTGACATCAGAAAGGAGAAACACGGTTTGAAGACTGATCAAGACTGGCAGAAACACCTGCTGATATGTATTATTGTAGGTTTGGCTGTGAGGCTGCAAGCTAGCATTGACCTCGAACAGTTGTCAGCAGCACTCGCCATACTGATGATGTCTTTTTACTAAATTATTTACGGCCTGTTCACAAATAAATGGAACTGCCCCTGATAAAATCTCGTTTGCAAAATCCCCTCGAATTTGAGTTAGATTCTTACCCTGGATCGCCGTAATGCGAATTTGACACCAATCAGCCCTCATTCAGTTTGCAACTTCGTCAGTTCACAAATTTATTTTCCATAGGATTATCCTACTCGTTGGTAGTTATGAGCAATACAGCTGGTTTGTTGAATACATATGTAAACAATAGAATCAGTAGACAATATAACATTTAAAACAAAGTTAATAGACGGTTCTTTTACCCACGAAACAATATCCTACACAATTTGATTTAGCATTTGGTATTATTTTCTTACATTTGTTCATTGGTGTTTTCCTATTCTAGGTCGCCCACTGAATCTCGCTTTAAAGATGTTTACTCAGCATCCAGAATTCTCAGCAATGAAAGTCTATTGCGTTGTCGCAAAATTAATCTTATAGTTTTTGATAACACATATATATATACATCGCATTACTATTGTCAAGGAGGATGGTATCACAAACCTACCTTTGTTGTCCCGACGCATCGGATTTTTGTGTTTACCGGAACTATAGAACCTAGGCTGAAGTAGACCGGTATTGTTTGTAGAGTATTCTAAGAGGAACAAAAAAATGATCCACTTGACCCACAAATTTCCCTAAATATCAGTTAGCCGTCCTGACCCAGAAAGTCAGACACCACTGTTACATTCTGCAGAATTACGTTAGGTGGGAGCATAGAAAGAGCAAATATTAAGGGAATCGTAACTGACAAAAAGAAAGTGCACTGTGTTCATTAAAAAGAAAATTGATTTTCAGAACGGCGCATTACTAGTGTGATATTATGGTACATTGTAATCTGCAAAGATCAAATTAAATGATTAGCAACGAAAGTCCTAAGGATATTAATCTTCGCTGACACATGTTAGCCAATACCCAAAGATGACCCATATACATTCGATTAACAGATGCATATATTCTTTGATTATCAAAGAATGTGCCTCTCATAAGCGATTGAATTACCAAACAGGACTTCAACTTAATTTTTTACCGTGGATTCGCATGAAATAAAGGAACATGGTTTGAAAATGCAATTAACACTCTTGATTTAAGTAGTAATATTACATTAAAATAATTCATAAGTGCTTTTCAACAATGACCATCAAGAGTCACATATAATGCAGGTATATATCGAAGTAAAGTTTATTCCTTCAATTAAAAGATGCATTTTTTTTAAGATAGGTGGCAGTTGGCTAATTTGATGGGTCCTTTCAATAAAAAAATTCAAACGAACTTAAGAAGTCAGAAAATATCCTACATTGAGGTTATTATTAATTACAGATAAGCTCATTTACAGGAAAAGCATGCATTTCATGTCTATTGCTGAAATTTTCCGCTGAATGTAACAAGTAATAAATCAAGGTACACATTATTTTTCATAATTCGTGTCAGACAACAAAAATTTTCAATTACTCTATAATAGATGTTAGTTTCGAACACACTGTAGGTGTATATAAACTGGCTTTCAAAAACCTTATAGGCCTGGACTTAACGAGCATAGTGATTGGCAAAATGAGTTAAACAGGTGCACGGCACCAAATTTTAATTCATTCTTTATTTGTCCTTCCATGGTATGGAGCACTATATCGATAAAAATGGTAAATATCACAAATGGTAAATAATGTTAGTATGAGTATTTCAGAATGCATTTTTATCAATAAATGTCCATTATTTTACTGAACTTACAAGGCACAAAATTCATTCTCCCTAACGCGGTAATACAAAACACTATATTATCAAGGCCATCGTTTGAAGGGGATTTCTTGTGGTTTTAATTCCATTATTTTTGCGTGTAGTGCTCATTGGACTGTACTTACATGCTATTGCAAGATTACTGAACATAGAGCACATTATTTGTCGAAAATAGTAGTTCTACGTCTTGTACTTTGCAGTTTATTGCGTTGTAATTTTGTTTATTCCAAATGATGTTTTGAGTAAGGTAATTCTCAGTTCGATATGAGACCATTGGTCTCTATGTACATCCTTGCCTGCTGCAAAACATAAAAAAGCTGCATGAATTGCATAGGACATATAAGTATGTTTCTAGTAATTTGGCAGACAAAACCAACTTCAGTTTATTAACCTGTTTTATTGGCCAAGTAGCTAAGATCCTCTCCTAACGTAATTTAGTTTTTTTCTTTCCAAACTAACAAATTAAATATGGCAAGTAAATTGGGATTTAAAGACCGTGTCACACGGTAATAAATTCCGTAATTTGAAATACGTTTGAAATGACCTAGTAACGAAGGGTTGGGTGGGGTCTCCATTATATGTATCCCCATTTTTTTACATGAGTTACGTTTCTGATAGGCCACAGACTTATCAAAATGGCATGCATTGAGGAGGAAGATTATTCAGTTTGTCTAGCTATTTTTTATTCCCTGAACTTAGAAACTATAAGCAGGCTAAAATGGTTTTCTTTAGTTATAGTGTCAGTGTACATGTCAAATATACATTTCTAATTTATGAAAGCATACGAAGTAGCTTGTTTATAAGATGTGGTGTGCTAGACCACTTATTTTCATGGTTTAAATCGAAATACATTTTAGTGCCTAATTTCTGTTTTCAACTACCGATTTTTGGTCTTAAAGATGTCTTTCCTGACTTCCAAAGTCCTTTTATTATATTTTACTATTTTTTACTACAATCAGTTAAAACTTTTTGTTTTCATATGTTATACGTAAGCATAGGAGCGAAAACATCGTTAAGTCATGGGTGAATCTTGAGACTGTCTGTTTACCGATTCATAGCTTTCTCACGTAACATTTTATTTTTATTTTACGACTTTTATGTCAACGTTGACAGACCTTCCTAGCAAATCATTTATAATAATATTGTTTTCTAGATGACTGATGTGAATTGAGTAAATATTAATACTTATCATGATTACTTTACCAATGCTTAGGTCCTGAATGAATATTCTATTAGTAACAAGTTAGGAATCATAGAATAAATCGTTTATTTTACTAATTCCAAAAGTAGCAACTAACGTTTTGTTTGATTATTGTGTATTATCTGGCTTGAACTATTGTATTTTATTATTGAACGTGAATGCATGTTAAGATTTTGTGTTTGTTAGACAATGCGCAAATATTTACGTCTTTTCCATCAGCCTTTTTCTCGTTTTGCAAAAGCCGTAGGAAAATTTTTCTTAAGTGACAGCTACCTCATTTCTTTTAATCAGCATGGCCGATCAAAGCTTTGTGGCACTGGATAGCTTTCAAACCACTTGTCATGTACAGCAAACTTAAACATTGTAGAAACTCAAGTCGTGGTTTACACTTGTCATAAGTACGAAGTTTTCTGTTGGCATTAATAGTAACACAAAAACGTCGCAACTTAACACTTGATCGTCTTCTGTTTTGTCCTTTATTGTGCAATAAGTTTTTAAAGCCCTAGCCAAATTGTTAATTTATTTAAACGTTTTCCTGTTTCTTTTTTTCATCTCCTCGTTTAATTTACGTACATACATACGGACCACCATTCTTTTCGAGTAAATTTCAGCCTATGCATTATGGTCAACTTCACCAGAAACTGGGCATTTCGAAACAAGATTGATTGCTTGAACGTTTTCATTTCTGGTGCAAGAATAGCATAAAAATCAAAGACAATTTTTTTTCAGGGTTAAAGCGTGCGATGCTCTTCTATGGTGGGACCTTGATAACATACAGTTTTATCACTTTTGTCCAAAATGTGTGATGTTATGCCAACGATTCCGGAGGACGCACAAACTCAGGTAAGCTCATTTTGCTCTATTTTCTTACACTACTACGTGCCGCCAGTTATTATTTTAAGTGGATGCGTCGGAATGTAATACAAACGATTAAGCCTTAATTCAACAGATCGTGTTGTCAGTGTGGTATCATATTTGCAGCACACGCATTTAGTAATCTGTCATGCACTTGGATTAAAAGGTTAAGTTACATTACTTCCCTCTTCTTAGATGACTGAACAAATGTTGTAATTTTCTAAACTGTATGCCCAGCACTAACATTTGTTATACCTGCAAACAAAAAAACTGTATGGAAATGGAGTGGCTTGTCTTGTTAAATAATTCATTCTCTTGCGCACCCTATCTATTCCCTTTTCTAGTAATGCAAGTTTTACTTGCAGAATCGAATAAGGTCATAGAAATTCAGGTTTTTGCGTGACTCACTTTAAACTTTGTTGTTGATGATCTTGCTTTATGTGTCTAGCTCATTAATTGATCACTACACGTCTAGACTGTTTGAATGTGGCACAGAAACATTGCAGATCGGAGTAAGTAGATGTCAAGATAGAGACTTGATATTATACCCTACCCGTTAGTAGCTTTAGGGGGTAAGGTTGTAACTTCCCACCGATTGACTTTGTAATGCGTTCTTTGTGAGGCGATTCCTGCTCCTGATATCGATTAAATTAAATCCATTAGGTGACTTTTTAACTCGCAACATCTATGTGGGGACCAAATGCATCGTTATTCTCATTTTTTCAATTGATACGTAAAAAACAGTTTGTAGTACCTTAAATATGTAACTTCTTTGTAGACTTCCAATAAACTTAATTAAGCAGTAAATTGGCCAATTTATAACAGATTCAGCATGCTTATTTCAATCTAGTTTAACAAATAACCAACCCTTTACTGGTGCATCTTTTCCAGTACCAGGGTGATCACGACTCCCAGTTGACAGGGGAGGGCGGAAATGTGGAGGACATGCTCCTTAGCATGCTCGACGAGAGGGACCGACTGATGGTCGGGTTGAAAGAGGCTCGTGCGGAATTGCAGTCTGTTCAGCTTCGTCTAGACGAAGTTGAAAAGGAGCGCGACGATTTGCAAAGTCAATTGTCTAGCACTCTTCCCACAGTAAGTCTTATCTAACCTGTGTTTGTTTCAATTAGCTTGGGATAATCAAATCCATTTACTGTCTTCCTGCATATGAATACATCAATATACTTGTTTTAGTTAAATAAGGCAGAAGCTCTTGAAAGCTAGCACTTCTTACTTCAAACCATTTAATCTAAGAGCAAATATCAAATTATTTGGGCAAAAACCACTACAGAACTAGGAACAAAATTCCGACCCTCATAACAAAAGAGCTAATTCCCTCGATGAAAGTAATGAAAACTAATTGGAATGTTAACATATTTTACATTTAATTGAGTGAGCGCGGGGAACAATCTTAAAGTTTTTCCTTTAGGTCAAAGCACACTAAATTTGGCTATTGACGGAATGTCTGTGGCTATCAGTAAACTAAGTAAAATTGCTGTGTTTCAACTGAAGATTTTCGAAGACGTGGGTTCTTCGTAGATACCTCATCAAATCTTTATGGAAAAGACGAAAGACTAATGAAGCATCCTTTCAATACTTGGCTAATTCGACTTTGCTATCGTGGACACGTCTATGGTAATGCCTAGGTCAGGTCACTTTGCTCGATCCAACCAAAGGGTTGTCGTGGTTCTTGTAATGCTTAGTTTGTCGAAATTTCACACGTGTCTATATATCTCACGACTGCCGTAAAGGATTCTAAAGCTACATGACTCACGATCCAAACAAATTGAGCCTTCAGAGTAATGGAATGTTCATGACTTCTTAGTAAAGTATTGCAGATAGTCGTTTTTATGTTTATTTAAGCACCATTAAATACCCAGAGTGAAGGCATCTGCGGAAATACAGTGGGTGTTCTTTACAGATTCTACTTGAACATTAATCTTGGCAATTCTTGGTTTAGAGTTCAAACCAGACAATTTTAAATAATTCCTTGATCCTATCCCCCAATTGGCGTCATAAAATCTTTGTGTTAAACTGACCCCCTAAATTATCCTCGAGGGCTTATTTAAAATATGGATGTCGTCATATCCTTTTTCCTCTAATTAGTCCTCCTTGAATTAGTTTTCTTCTTTAAGTCCTAGATGTAGTCGCTTTGGCAACACGAAAATGTTCCACTTTGACCTTTATGAATGCAGAAGAAAAAAGCGTGATTTTGTAATTTAATGGTCTCACTCAAGCGAAAATTCAAGTATCTACGTTAGGCACGTGCCCACGCAATTGGGGCAACAAAGCGATTATTCTTGGCATTCCTTTTCATTTGCAGTTCTGCAAAATTTAAAGTTGCTGGGGAAATAAAAAAAATGGCCGAATACTTTTTTAAAAATTTGATTCAAACAATAAAAGCGTTTCATTCTCATGTTTATTTGGGTTAAATTTGCGAAAAGTTCTTTTGCTTCATTGTTAGCTCATATCACCAAGTCATGTTTTTAAAATTGCTTTTACACTGATTTGTTACCACTCATCTATTTTGTTATTTCTATGGCTTTTGTAAAAAAACATGGATGGTTTTGTAATAATGAGCGATTTGCCAACGTTTAATAAATTACTCGATGACTATGGACAGAACAGTTGGATACTTTTTAATTTAGGATTAATTCTCTCCATTCTAATGACGAATTTTTCTGTTGTCCCATGCAACCACATCAGCAAGTCGCACGGTCATAGTAAGAAGAGTTTCAGTTGTGGGTTTAAGCAATTGGAACTAGTGTAAGCTATTTTGGAGTTATGCAACAAGAAGCATTTCACTCCCTTTCGGTCGGTCATCTATTCATTCGTATTTCATACGCTCCACTCCACGATTTTATATATCTCATCCATTACGAATTATACAACGTTGTTGAAACATGACTAAATGTCTTAATTCAACTGCATCAGCTATTTCTTTTAATGTCGCATGGGTATCTAAAATCTTAAAATCCATAACAGAAGATTGATTTTCCCTGATCTCTAGATTCAAAATGGTGGGATTTTTTGAGGTTGATGTAAGAGAATTACACACACACACACCAAGGTAATTCTGATAACTTAGGCCTTAAAATTCCACCATGAACGAACAGGTTAAATTGCTACCGTGACAACTTTAATTCATTAGGCTTTAATTGTGAGTAGTTAAGAGCGAGAATTGAAATGGTACACCCCCTAGTTATTTCCTTACCCCTTCTGCTTCGCCGCGTCGCTGGCTTGGCCAACATCGATTTATGAAGCTCACGTACTGCCTGCGACCTTGATGCTGGATGAGCAGTGCTCACGTCTGTTCACGACAAGCGCGTGCGCTTTTCCCGCGTTCGGGATGGCGATTGCGCGTCCGACTTCCTTTGCCGAATGGCTAGCCCTGTATTTTTAGCATCCCCTTAAAGGCTACAACCTATTATAGGCCGTTTCCAGAGCGAGTCAAGATAAGGCACGTATCTTTGTGACTGCATCAACTCAGAACAGCAATATACTATAGAAAAAATAAAATTGATCATTAATGCAGGGTTTTGTGGGCCGCCAGGTTGTTGGCTCAACGCAAATCCTGACAGCACGTTGTCGCTGATACCTGCACCGGGAAATTAATCATCTGAGCAAGTAAACTTGCTTACGGAACAGCCACCTTTATCTGCCGTTGCGTTTTGCATACTTTTTAAAATGAATTACGGAAACTAAAGCTTATAGAACTGATCCTAGTTTGGTGGCTAAGTTCGTAAGACAACACTGTAGTTATGCTATTCTGCAATTAGGGTAGGCAACCAGTTAACCTCTTTAAGGCAAATTTATTGCTAATAGCATTACTTTTTTAAAAGTGACTGAAAAAGAAAATTGGGTGGCTTCAGGAAAAAGTAGTCAGAAATTGATGGTACCATGTTCTCTCAGTCTAGTAGGGACGAAAGTCAAGATGATTTTATTGAAATTAATTGAGGCACCTCTCATGAATTACTTATGCAAAAGAAGGACGTTAGGTTGAACATCTTTGAACAGTTCCATGTAAGCGAAAGTAGTGACTTCGTTCAATTCTTTAGAGTTAAAACTACTTATCCGGGTCGATAATCTGTTCTTTTTTATTAAGTAAACGTTCAAATCGGAAAACTTTTAAAAGTATAAAAGCTGAAGTGTCCCGTTTAGAAACAGCGTGGCTTGTAGGTACAAGTACTGTTTGGTGGGTGGTTTGTTTCGATCGGTTCATTGATGAGTCAGCACTAATTAGGATAGTGACCTGAATTCCGCAGCCTTTAACAAAAAGCAGAAGCTCATTCAATGTTCTCCTTTTTTGCATATCCAATAAAAAAATCTAATATCACACATGTACATTATTTATGCGCAATTGTACTTGAACAGGTTTCATTTGATCCCTCCAGTTTAAATAATCGTATAATGTCGTAAATTTATCCGCAGTTTACACACGTCAAAGCACACCAGCTAACAAGTGCTATAATCCTCTACGAAACCACCCTTCTAAATATGTGTAAAAGTTGGCGTCCTTTGAGGTAAAATAACTCAAACAGCTTGTTTAGCATCTTCTATTGATACTGTTTCCACTCACTTGATATCGTCTTATGATTACGAACACTAAAATTACCATATGAAACCAAACTCCGAATAAAATGTGAATGAGGTAAGGTGCCAATATGAATTCCTCTCAAATGAACACTGGATCGACTTAAAGAATAGGTTAAGGTATTTGTGAAGGAGAATAAATTCATTTATGGAGCTTGTTAAGTTAGTTACATTGAGATCGTGGCCATAAATTTGAAGAACAACAAATGCAACATAACAACAGCACTTTTGACTGCACTTTGACCTCGGAACCACACTGACAAATCAGCACCATTCGTAATGGATTGAGACATTTATTCAGACCTGCTTGAATCTAGTTTGGTGGTAAAGAGGGCAACTGCAGCCTCTAAAGTCAGTTGCTTGGAGTGCGATTCAAACTTGGTGAAGATCATGCTGGAAACTTCGAGAATTGTACGATACTGACGGATTCGTGTGAGGCGGACAATTTTCTGGCCAATTCTGTTGTAGACATTCCCGAGCCTTTGTCTAGCATTCTGCATTTGGTGGGCACCAATTGCGTTCTAAAGAGATGATGGTCATCTTTGTGTTCTTCTACTCTGCTTTCACTATAAGGCTTTTAATTCTCTCAACAACTCCAACCTGGTCTGATAATTTCGCATTATGAACGTTCTTAATTTTTTAACTTAAACAAATTTGGAGTTAACTTGACTTCCGAACCTCAGATTTACCGTTCACTAGAAGCCAGCTTTTGAGAGCATTACATAGGAAAGGTGTCACAAAACTGATCTCATGATTTTGTAAGTAGGTTACAAGCACTCACATTTAAGAAATATGGTATTTGGTCATCGGTTGGCTGATTCTTCAAAATTACACTACGTCCCTATTCATATCTCCCACGCTGATATTGCATAGCTGTTGCAACTTTTTTGTTCACGCCAGCACAAAAGAGACTCATGTACTTTACTTTTCCACTGAAGGTTTGCCCACTTTAACTGTATGACTTTGCGATTGGTTGCTGTGCCTTGATCTCTCCTTGCACATTAACACTGAATTGGAATTTTGATTATCTAATTTACGTGGTTTTTCTAATTTCTTTAGCTTAATATGGTTGGTTTGACAGTTATATTGGTCAAAAGTGATAATTTTTGCACTCACGACCACCTCTTCACCCACAGGACATTTTATCTTGCACTCGGGAACTTGCGGCCACGAAAGAAGAATTGGCCCGGCGAACTGAGGAGGTTTTAGAACTAAAGGCGGAACGAAATAACACAAGGGTAACGTGCCTTTGTAATTATGACTTTTTTTAATCAAAACTAAGTTCCAACACCTCATGACGGCTACTATTTGTTACATGAGTGCAACCTTCTTTTGTGCACGAATTAGCTTGGATTTTACTCTACTCCTATACTTCCAAAAGGATTTGGTAAAGACCAATTAGTCACCATCAATGATGACACGAGGCATTATACTCTTCTCCTTTTACCCTTTTACCATTAACCAGAGTGTTATATATTTAAATCAATTTTTTTCTATAATTGGGCCATGGTGTTTCGCCAATTAGAATGATTTCATGTTCAGTTTGTCGATCTAGATTCGACAGTTTCTTTATTCAATTGAGGTCGTAGTGTCCATGCTACATGACGAATACCATTAAAGATTTGAAATTTAACCAACGAAGTCCTGCATTTATACAAGCATCTATTTTCTCAATCAGTTCTGTTTTCACCAGTGACTGAATAATACTTTCAGAATCCCACAATGAATATTGATTGTGACTTTTCCATTTTTTATCAATTTTTGCTAACTCCTTTTTAGACAACGGTAATTAAAAGCTGGATTTTATATTGCGTATTGAAGATTGACAAAGATTTTCCATTTTAACTTGATCAAAATGCTATTTTTTTGGAGGCATCACGGTCGTTTCAGAAATTGTCAATAGTAAAATACGCACCAAAAAAGACAAAGCATTCTTCATTTCAACTCTACCCATACCACACACACAATTTAATGACCCACATTTGATTACATTGTATCCCAAATGGACCTTGTTGTACAGCACTTTGAAAAATTGCACGTGATCTTCTTCTGGGCGTCCTCAAATAAGAGACACATCAGATCACTTTATAAAAATTTCTATCCCAGCACCTACTGGGAGCTATTAAGTCTCCTAAGGCAAACTACCTTTTTGAGGATTATTTATTGTACTAGGGCCCAGAACGGGAGTTTATAGCGGTTATTGCACCTCATTGCTAACTTAGTCTGTCCACCTTAATTGGTCTTTTACCGCCACCTTTTAATAGTCTACCGTGATACTTAGTCACATTGTAAAAATCAACGAATGAAGCCGTTCGTCGAATTTTATTTATTCGACCAAACCACTTCAGAAATGCCACTGGAAATTGTAGTATTTATTGCAGGATCGGCCAAAGACCTGTGATGCTAAAAATGTATTAATTAATGGGAGATTGCCATTTTCAGTCCGTGCCAGTAGTTAATCCACCAGTAGTCATTTAGAGTGGATTCCTCACATTTTCCTGGTGTTAGGTAGTGACTTAAAAGTCAGTGTCAGTTGGAAAAAAAGGTTTGTTGCTGAATATCAAACTGCAATTATCAGATGTTTTTTACCCACTCCGTAATAAAATTAATGAAATCTCTACTTACAACTGACCCATAATGCTGGAGTCTGCACCGTTTTCTATGGTGTTTTTCAGCCAGTTTGGATGGAGGTATTATTCTCTGACAAATGGGGACAGTGTTAACCTTAATGATTCTGTCTGATTTCAACTAAACAAGACAGCCATTTGCAGTAGAATAAACCATTGCATCTTCGAAGATAGTATATGTGATTTCATTAGACTTGTTATTTGTTGACTTGAAGGCGAATAGAGTGCGCCTTCAAATATGACAACTACCACCTTAACCGGGGCTTATAGGAACGTTCTGACAACGTTTAAACTACTCTAATCTTCATGTTAATGTATTCGACTCGGTTAATTAATTAAAAGAATTTATACTTAGCCCTCACACTAGATAAAAGCTGTAATGTAATTGGTCTATACCGCATTTAAGTTGTGTAATTTTCTCTTATAATAAAAAGTTAGTTAATGGGCAGAAGTTGCATGTGCGAGGAATGTCACGCTATTCACTTTCAAAGTCAAACTAGACATAATTTTTATGGGAGTGCGAGGTATTACAAGAAATGAAAGTAAAATTTTGATGAGATTTGTCTTCTGTGTGGACGCATTACTCGGTGTGTGCTCATTAAACCGATCATAGTTTATCTGACTAAATTCACTGATGCCTTAGAGTGACATAATGTTTGATTTTGTTCCCATTTACTTCCCCTTTTTGGCTATTAAGGGATTCAGCGTGTTTCATAGTAAGGACCCCTTAAGTCAAATATTATAGCCTTGTTTATATTTTACGAGCAATTATTGAATATGTTTCAAGTATGGTTTTAATAACCAAATGGTTTGACAGGAAAAATGTTCACATATTGAAGAACTTAAATATTGGAAACTTGACAGCATTTTTGTCGATTATTTTAAAGTAGAAATGGCTCTCAACTGCGTGGCCAACAGTTTAGTCCTGATAAAAATATTTTTAAATACCTATAATGTGAATCCACACTATACACACCAAAACTACATGGGCATTCCACTAGCCTAAAAAAATACAATCGTGATAGAGCCTCAGTTCGATTTACAACTGCTTAATATATGTGGTAAAAGGGTTATCAACTCGTATAATTTTAAACCTTCTGTAGCCCAGCCACGTAAAACGTTATGAATCTTTGAATAGAGGTGTGTCTGCTTTGTGAAGCTCGAGAATTTGAGCTAAGTGTGCACCAAAAGATGACTAATCGACTTCTTCATCGCAAGACGCTGTCCAAAATTTGGCAATCCCAACTGATGAACATCTCCAATGGGGAAATTCTCACCGTCTTTCCTCTAATATCGTTTAGCTTCTCCTCGAGCACCTGGAGTGTCTGGTGTCTCGCCACGAGCGATCACTCAGAATGACAGTCATCAAGCGCCACAACCTCACACTCTCAACTATTCCTGCCTCCGATGACTACAACGGTAATGGCAACGGTGGTTCAAACGGAATTAGCTCAGAAGTTGAAGTTCTTAAGGCTCTTAAATCTCTTTTTGAGCACCACAAAGCGTTGGATGAAAAGGTTCGTCTGGCAATATTTTTTACTCAAGTGGCCTGGTCTCGTGTTTTGATTTGTGCATCTGTCAAAGTTATCCATTTTACGCATAAATGAGGCACTGTGGGACTTTATTATGATAGCCTGATGTTAAATGCACAACACAATAAGCAAACAATTGTCCAACAGCTTCATAAGCGTTTATGTGTGTTAAAGTTTTAATATAAGCAGTTTTTGTCGAGATATTTTGTATTGGTAGTAAATCCACGATTTTGGGTGCATGTTTTGGTGTATCAAATATCAGCCTTATGATTGAAATTATCTATTTAGTACTCCAGCCTGTGGCCAAAGAATAACCATGTGAAAACTGTGCAGTACGTTCCATAAATGCAAGAAATCTATGTTAAAGCGTTATGCACAACTATTGTTCAATTTCGATTGCTCGTATATCATTGCATTTTTTGACGATACAGTGGCTGCTGTCTTAAAAAGCAGTTTTTTTTTGCAATGTATTATCAATTGTATATAGAAATCAGAGTTTATTTCTGTAATTTTCATTTGAAGACGGATGATTTTAATGGTTTATCGTATTTTTGTTTGCGATTTATTCTTACATGCCATCACTGGTTAAAACTGTCTACAGTTTAATTGTTCCTATTTCAAATTAATTTTAAAATGGAAATAAATCCTTGTTTACTAGTCACTAAGATCTTGACAGCTCATGCGAAAAAAACTTAAATTTGTTACTGCACTTTGGGCCTTCCACTTCATTGCCCTAAACACGATTCTCAGTCAATGGGGTTTTCTTGGAAGTCTAGTCTTGCCTCTAACCTTGTGGTTTGCGAATGTGAAGCGGGTTTTCGGATTAACGTGATTATAACACTATCTGTCCGCAACTAGATTTGCATGCTTTAATGAAATATGTCTTGCGTTAATTTATGATGCTAGATGCTTATAATCCCCTGAATGTCAACTTTTAACTGACATCGCGTTGTGGCCAACTCCGCAATTACTCAATTCCCTAAAGACATTTCGGGAGGAAGTGCTTTGAACCCAAGTTTTTACCACCGTAGGTGCGAGAGCGTCTGAAGTCTGCCATTACCCGAGCATCGCAGCTCGAACAGGAATTAGCAGACTTGAAGTCATACGCTTCAACTACAGAAGGACAGGCAGCTTGGGCTAAGGCGTCTCACAGTTTTCTCGGCAAGTCGGATGTTGCCACAATTACAGACCCTTCGAACGATTCAAGTGAGTTAAATTTTTCTTTTCCGACATTCTGGCAGTTTTTTTGTGAAGCAAAACGAATGTGTTGCAAAGCTTCATTACTTTATTAACATCTACCGTCTTTGTCAAGCAATTCTTGTAAATTTGATAAGGGCATTTAATCGAAGCTGATGATGAAAAAGTGCGCATTAGTCGCAGCAAATGACCACGCGCACTAAATTAAAATAGTCATATTAGTTTAATCAGACAGTACGCATCGCAGGGCGGTAGTGTCAGCTGTGTTCATATGGTAACGTTGTATTTTTTTTCCTCAAAAAATATAATCACCAGTTCACAAGGTTAGCCTCTTATGTCCATGAAATGTCGATGATACCCCCGTCTGCAGCATAAGCCGCCAATCAATTAAAACGTTTTACGTGGCTGGGCTACACGGATTGGGCGACTCGCGAAATAAGCGTGGCAGATGTCGAGAATGCGAGGTGTGGGCGAAAATTAAGGCGGCTTTAAGCTACTTCGACTATGTCGCCTTGGTTTTGCTGAGTTTTCCTAAATAGCATGCACATCAACTCACAGCAGCCGCCTTGGCGAACACAGGAGCTTTCCTGCGGTCAAAACACAGCCAGCCCAAGTGTTTAAGCAGGTTACTTTGGCTCAAGACGTAGTCCATGCATGAGCTGGGCAAACGAGTGCCTACTTATTGACTGCTGGTGATGACACCGTAGTGAACTTTTGTGACGCGGTCGGTTCTGGGGGGTTCTAAGTTGTCATCAACCAAGCTGATGCTTGTGTGTAGATGCTCAAGAGTATTTAGACGTAACTACAGAGTAGCATGGCTACGTGATTGGCGAAGAAGCGGCGACTACGTCAAGAAAATCGTGTGGAGTTGTGTGATACGGGAATTATTCTAGCAGAAGGATTTATTATTAGTGAGTTGTCTGATTAACCTCCATTTATAAGTAAATTTGGTCTTGGTGAAATCAGCTGAACCTGTTTCTTAATTAATTTTTTTGTTAACATACTTAATCTCCAAGTGTGATTTAAAGATCGAAACACTGAAATGCTAAAATGGCCGTTTGAGGTAAAAAGCAGTTTTTATTCAACAGAGCTTCCTGAGTTGGTATCTCTGCTTTGCTATCGAAAATGTGCTTCCCTTCGAAAATGTGTGTTTGTGAGCAAAGCGTTTTCTTAGTATAAGGCTGGTGTCAAATTCACTGACTAACGCAATTTGATCAATAGCTAATTTAAGTTAGGATGTCGTAACAAGTACTTCATTGCAATTCCGTTTTACTTGGCGGCATAGAAATGTGGCACAGACCCTCCAAACGAGTGCATGCCTCTACTCACCTCCGCGAGTCGGTGATTACCCATCGTGTAGTGAGCAACCGACCGTAATAGGACAAGTCGGTATCACCGAGTAGTCGATACATGCGCGATAGCATCAGTCCATGGTTCTTAGGTATGATAGTTGAGCTGAAATCAGGTAATCAACTGTCCCCACATGGTTAATCAAATTATTCTCAATCCTGATAGCATCTCACATGAAGCAGGAGAGGATGAATTGTCGCAAAATGGTAATTGTTGAAAAGGAATATTAAGTGTGTAGGAAGCCAATTTAAGCGGTTTGAGACGGCATGTATTCTGGCTGTAAGTGGTCAACTCTTCTCTTTTTGTGTTTTGCCTGCTAACAAAATTTTGTCGCTTTTTTTTATCTTTACTGTTTAGCGTCTATTTTAACGAGGGGTTTGATGCCAATTAACGTTTGTTATTAACCAAAAACCACGAAGTATTCTTTAAAGAAACGCTTTTAACTGGTCTGTTTAGTAGCATTGGCGAAAGTTGTTAAAAGGCACTGCTTATTTTTGGCCTCTATTGCCTATGTTTGCAAACCAGACAGAAATGGTTTTGGAAATGTCTACTTTCGTGCTACTATTTCGCTTATATTATTATTTGTTGCTACATTAAATAGTTACCTTAAATCGATGACTGATGTCGTTATTATATGAGTGCTGTTGCTTTCAGCAAACCGGGAAATCTTCGAAGTCAGCAAACAGTGCCGCTCTGCTAATTCTACAGTAAGTGATTTTTTTTGTGCAACAGGGAACTTTCCCAGAACGAGACGCCTAATGCCTGATTAATTCTGTGGCGCTTGGAAATTTGGCTTCAGTTGTTGCAGATGCCTCTACCTCTTGCTCCTGTCTTGCGATGTTTGTGATTGCTTGAGAGTGAGGGAATCTACTTTAGAAGATTTTGCGCATGGCTTTACCTTAAGCCCAAAATAAAAACACTAATTGTGGAGCATGGTGGCGTCAGTTAGCACGGCACCACAGTTCATACAACTGCGTGAACCGTTCACTGTACTCACTGACTGAGCCATTAAATGAGACATTCTAGTAAAGTTGTGACAAAGCAATCAAGTTAAACCACTGCACCACCCAAAGGGTTCCTTTTGAACCTCATGTTATCAAGTATTACCTTAATCTACGCTTTTTACCTGTTAACAGTGCCAGAAATGGTAGATCACAGTCTAAAATATGAATTGCATGGGAGTAAATTCATGGTTGCGTTGTTGTTGATTGGAAAAAAGTTTTTAGGTCGAACGGAGTGTGTGCGCTTACTAGCTGTGGTGTGTTGACGGCAGTTTCCAGGTTCTTCTTATTAAGTGATCACCACGTGATTGGCCTTTCCTAGCTTTTATTAATCTCTTGTGTTACTGCACAGTAGCTTAGCGCTGCTTTCATTTCATTTTTCCCTAAGGAGAGTTCACAACAGCAAATTGCCGATCTCCTAGCGCACAACTGTGAACTCGAGGAAAAATTAGCTTCCTCTTCGCGCGAACTCGCCAAAGCAAATAATCAGGTACCTGTCGTCTTGTTTTCCCCTCTGAAGTATCGTTAACATGGTCTAATTTAGGATGCAGGGGTGCTGACTTCCACATTTTTCACTCAAAGCCTGCGAAAATCAGAAAAGTGGCTGTTTTGAGCAAGGAGTCAAATCCATTTTGCTCAGTGAAATTATTCAAAAAATCGCATACAGATGCTGTAGTTCGTCGTGAAGGCTCATAATCCTCAATCAGTTATTAACGTTATCACAGCTAAATTAAAAACTAAGATAATTAGTGTGCAATAGTGTCATGCTGGAATATTTTTTATGGTGATTAGCTGATGGCCTTTTTGACGAAATTGCCGGTTTTTGAACTGCTAGGATCAATGATAACTCCCTGGGATGTTTCTATCGTCATTGTCACTGTGTAAAGAGGGGGAGTTACTAGTGCCGAATTAGCTCGGGCTGGTGTCGTTGCCGAATGGATTTTGGAATTGAGTGGTAAAATTTAATGCACCATTTAGAATATTCACATTTTTATCCATTAATTTGGTAATATTTTTTTCATTTACCTGACTTTTGATTTCAGTAGTTTAAATGCTAGGCTTTTTGTGCAACGAATGCTTTCTAAATTGTCGAGTTCTGCTTGAATAAAACTAAAATTGAATCTCCTTGGCTGAACGATGATTTCTAACTGTCTTTCTAACCCCCGATTTAAAGCCCTTTTTACTGAAAATGCGGGAAAGGTTCCCTGAAATTTTGTACGCGAATAAAGAAATTCGTTACCTTCTAAATTATCCACTGTTCATTTGGGACAAAATCTTTACTTGCACAGTTACTGGAAAATACAAAATCAACCTTTTTGTTGTTAGTAATTCTAACAACGTTTTCTCTTACCTGTTTTTCATCATCAGACGTGTTTGTGCACTTCGAATGGCAACCAGTTTTTCAGATTTCTTCTGTGTTTTGTCACCTGAGTAATTCACATTATTGTACCAAAAGCCTCTTAAATCAACGATGATGCACTCGATTCAGCGTCGTTTTATTCCCTTTCCCCGAGGCAAAGCCTACCGCAGAGTATAATAACCGCCATTTTCTGACCGTTATTCATTTTTAAAATTTAATGTGATTTTCAAAATTATGTTAATTCTTTAGAGCTAAATTTCCATTCCTTAATCGTGTCTTACCAATGTGTACCTGACATGTTTTTTCGAATTGTCTACTGAACACAGAGGGCTTGTATCCATACATAAGAGCTATAATAATGTATTTTGTACAAGTTTTTCTCTGAATCCTTTGTGTTTACCGGAACAAAATACCACTATTTTTCCCTCCGTAGCTGAAGGTGCAAGACGTAAATATCTAGAAGCTATGGTATATTATTTTTGGTCTTGCCATAGGCGTTAAGATTGATCTGCGATTGATATGACAGGCGTAAGATAAACGACGGTCACATAGAGAGGACGCAGTTGGATTTACACCTAACGGGCCTCGATATTTGCTGTTTTGTTGTGAAATATATAAATTCACAGGCTCTGAGTGTGTTCTTTTTGTGTGGTTAGATAGGTCAGCTTCACGCTGAGCTCATAGAATCTGAGAATAAGCGAAGTGAACAGGAAGCGAAAATAGTCAGTCTCGACCAGAGATGTCTCTCTGCACAACGAGAAATCACTGCTTCTCAGAACCAAGTCAACAAGCTGCGGACCGAATTGGCAGGAAAGTCAACTCAACTTAAGCAGGTACCATTATTTTGCATTATTAGTATTTTTCTGACACCCGTCTTCCTGGAAAGTTTCGTTTTCTGTTTTTTTAACATCCTCTCAATCCCTTGACACTTTCATCATTCCGCATCAAACGAAGTAGGCAATAATCAGGCAGCGATTATTTTTGGAATTGAGTTTATGTAATACAAGCTGCTTTTTTTGTCATAGATATTGAAAATTTTTTTCCTCTTTATGGGTGACAAGCGGCATGAAGCCATATTAGTTGATTTTCTTTTGCTATGTATTTCTTATTGAACGTACCAGATGCTCAGCATGTTTATTAAAATGGTCTGGTTGAAACAAAATGCTGCTTAAACATGACTCATGCAAATGAAGTTTAATCATTTCATTCCTCATTTGTTCATCCTCTATGTTTGACTACGTGCGTATTTGTCTTCTCAAATTTCAGATTTGTGCATCTGTTTGGGGTGTTCGTATCTGATGGCCATTGCAAACCATCAAACGTAGCACCCCGGTGCCCAGCTCTCGATTTTACTCAGTTATTTCATGGTTCTGGGGTCTTTTCTCAAAATTCTGCCCTTATTCTCTGAAATACTTGTTATGTGTTGTGAAGGCTAGGTTTTCTTTCAACAATGTGTTGCTGGTACTAATTTCAAAAAGTGTATAAAGTGAGTCGTGACGGCTTTTCGGTGTTAAGAATTAATATCTTGGATTTTGCACTCATATAAATTACGGTAATTCTAGTCTTCATTTTGAATTTTCCTGCTAACGTGAGAAAATTACAAAATTAGACATTATATTAAGTATATTTATAAACGTGGACAACAAATATCACCTACGCGTAAAATCAACTCCAGTATTTCGACATTCCAAATGAGCCTACTTAAAAGAAAATGGACAAGTTAGATTTAAATTCCAGGTGCTCCATGAGTGGTTTAATTCAATTTCATGTTTGTATTTTTAAAAATCATCCTGGCGTTTCCGTGACTCACTGACTTTAGATGGCGTGGATGTATTTCCTCTGAACGATCTTCACATCTATTTTAAAAGCTAAATTACATTTTTTGCTAGACTATTTATGTATTTGTAACAGCACAGCTTAAAAGGCTATACTGTGTGAATTTTAGCTAATTAAGAACCTTCATTTTTCATAGTGTACTATGCAACCGTGTATATGTGGTTTCATGCAACTCTGAATCGGTCAAATTCCTGCCCCATATTGCTTTGCATTGTCATTCAAAAGCACAGCCTTAAAGGTTCCAAATATCATCAACAAAAGGGAGCCATTTAAAAAAAATAGCCCATTTTTAATATGCTATAAGAAGCAACACAATTCGCGAGATACTGAATTTTCATTGTTATTAAAATTTTGTTAATTCTCTGTTGTCATGCACCCTTAAACCATAAAATTTGCACAAATAGTTCAAAACTGTAGCCCATTCATGAGAAACCTAATTTTATCTGTGCTTTTAAGAGTAAAATGTCAGCTTTCATACATTGGGTTGTCTTTAAGATGGAAGAGAAGGTTTCTCGACTGCAGGCGAGACTTGAATTGTCTGAGCAATCAAGGACGGAAGCTGTCTCTACCCCGGCAGAAGGAAACAAGACTGAAAAGTACGAAGAAGAGTACGATTTTCCAGCTGTGGCCCAATTTCAGCAACAAATTATCAGCCAAAAAAGCAAAATCAACTCGCTAGCTCTGCAGCTGTCAAACGCACAAGACCGTATTAAAGAGTTAACAGAGCAATTAGAAGATGGCAAGTCAGAGCTTATCAGAGCGCACGAAAGGGAAAAGCTGAATGAAGAACACAACGAGCGACTATCCTCAACGGTTAGTGATCTGTTATCTTGACAACCTGAAAACTAGGTAAATTTAAAAATGCCGGGTATCAAAAGCCTTTTGCCCTAATTAAGTTGGTGACAAAGGGCCATAAGAGGAGGGGGTAGATGAACATCTGTCTACTAAGCTGTTTTGGACCATTTGGCTTTATACTTGATTCGAATGGTTGGCAACTTAATCCCTCATTCATTTAATTTTTATGCTCCACATAATACTTAGTAAGGCTAATGCAAATGAAGAATAGAAAACCATATGTAGCCAATATGACAGCATAAAATTACTAAAAATCTAATCGTTGGAGACGAAATCTTCTTTGAAACGTCTACCAAAATGTGGCAATATATCCATTCATCTCTTTTATTCATAACTTTTCTTTTTAACGAAAACCAGGTAGTTGTCGTAAGGTAGGAAATGGTACAAACTATAATCGTGAAAAAAAAACTGAAGACTTAAGAAGATGTAAATCAATCTCAGAAAAGTGCACGCTGGGTTTTCTCAGAAAGACTTAAGTATTGGATGACTTTATTATTGCTTATCCTACCTTTTTTGATTCTGCCAAATTAAGGTGGATGCACTTTTGATGGAAGCCAACGAACGCCTTCAGAGCCATCTCTCTGAACGCATGTCCGCGTTGCAGCAGAAGCGGGAATTGGTGTGTGAAGTGGAACACCTCCGCTCGGCCCTCGACGAGGCCTCAAACGATCGGGAGGCGCTGGTCAACGAGGCCAATCGCCTGCGAAGACTACTGGCTGGAAATAAAGAGGGCGGGCCCCTAGGTTTACCCTTATCGTGTCCAAGACCGTCCTCAGATAAAATGGACACGTTAGACACCATGGACGCCATGCTCGCCGTTGATCCCTCTGGACGTAAGTCTCAAATCGCTTTTTAATAAAACGCGTCACTGCAAAAGTAAGTTAACTGCGACTGCTTTAAAGCAAATAACCTAAATCGAAGGGTTCTAGTTCTCCGACACATATTTTGATAAAGCGCAGCCAAATAGAAAAAAATAGGCTTGAATGCACACAGTTATATGAGCAGGCATCAATATTTCAAAGTAAAGCGGATGATAAAGCATCGGTTCCATCGATCAGTGAGAGGCACCATCGATTTCCCCCACTGGGATGACAATCACCTTCAACTGCCATCTTCAGCCGACGCACAATGTATCTGGAGCCGATTGTAATCAGATAAAATGGATTAAATTGAGCTCAAAATGTCTTTCCTATACATGCCTAAAACGCCAAAATTCGGTAAAAGTTTTAGGCCATATTCTTTGTTATATTTACGCAACAATAACTTTTCTATAACTCCATTCTTTTTATTTCCCTAACTGTTTCTTTGTTAACTGAATGACACTCAAGTGACATTAACGGTGCTCAAAATGGCACCCATTAAACCTTATGATTTGAGACTTTGGTGTCCTTTCTGTTCTCGTGGCATCTTTCGGTTACCATGAAGAGACTGAAAACTAAACAGCTAAAACTAGGCGATGGAATAGGTAGATGCTCTCTCAAGCTGACTGACATCTGTGGCTCCCCGAACTTTCTGTAGTTCGCACACTCACCCGACCTTCTCTGTTTAAACATCTTAATGCATCCAGTACGAACATAAAATTCGATCACAACATTTTGCACATTAGCTCCAAATTACTGGTTGTAAGGTAGTGCAGCGTGCATTACCAAAAACCAAGGATTGAGCTTAGTTATTGGCTCCAATTGTCATCGCTCGTGTTCCCCACCGGTCCCATGGGTGCTGTTGGTGAATTTTGTAAATCGCTGAACCCAAATGAAGGTTGCCTCCGAGCAAACGCTCCTAGTTGACACTATTTAAATCCCATTTTCTAAATACATTTCCATTTATAACTTATAGGACTTTATAAATCCTGACTCATTGCAAGAACGACTAATTCGCAATAATAGTGCCAATGTGAAGTAAGGACTCCAGTCGGTTTCTTGATAAATGCAGCCAAAGTAATTCCTTTTAAAGTTCATGCATCCACATGAAGCAGGTGACTGTTGAAGGTCCTGCAGAATGTGTGGTTATAGACGTGCCACTTTCTGCATACAGATGAGAAGAATAGACGGTAATGTGAGTTCTTGAACCAGCATATCATAAATCAAAATACAAATTCATAAACTGACGCGAGTACTATTGAGCTTAAAATAATTTAAATCCACTTCCAAGTGCTTCACCTATTTTTTTCGAATTATACCAAAAAAGGGGAATTAAAATATAAACTTAAATGGTCAAAGTGATCACTAGTTGGTAAAATCACAATTAGTTAGCCATAAAAATAAGCTGTTCATAATTCGGTAATCTCAGTTAATTCGTGTGTGGAAATGCTAAGTCGAAGTTCAATATTTTTGACTAAATTTTACCTTATGACTTTTACTTTGTAATGACGATTTTAATTCACCGGAGGATCGCGATTGAAATGCAAACAAAGGGCCCTTACTTGTTGTAGGTCTTATCTGTGACCACTCAGTTAGCGCAGCCCCTACATCCGTTGTTTATTCGGTTCGCCCGAGCATAGTGAGTTCGCCCACCAAGCCAGGACCTTTTGTTTCGAACAAGGCGCAGAATTCCAATCAAGTAAGTAAAATTGACGCAAATTTGAAATGCAGCACTTTTATTGGCATAACCACCTGTGTTGTGCTGACAATTATTGCTCTTTACAAGGGCTAGGGACGTGGCTATAGGAAGTACTATGTCGCCACACGTGCCACATGAACACGAAGGATGATTTTGGTTGCTTTGAGGGTGTGTACCAGTTTACTGAGAAATTCCTTGTTAAGTAGGGTGTCCTTGCTTGCCCAAAACGTTTGTTAAAGTGTAACTATTTACGATCTAGTGATACAGTTCCAGCTTTGATTTGACAAACTCGTTTTAAGAGTACGAAAAATCGTTATTATACCTTCGGGCCACTGAGACATAGAAGGTAAGGAAATCACCCGGAGAATGTTTGTGCTGCATAAAAGGTATCTGGAGAACATATACTGCCTTCTTTGGACATCCGGCAGTCGCTGAGGTCTTTTCTCACAATTGCAAAAGATACGCTATACAGTGCTCAGTTCACGTAACAAACCAGTAAGTTCTAAAAGCGCAAAGTCACAAAATCCCTCATGGGACTTTTTTCGTGATTTAAATCAAGTGCTCTCCGATTATACCAGTGTTAGTAGGTTTGCAGAAAGTCATCAAATAAGATCGAAACCACGTGGCCGATTGACTTACAATGGTATTCAATGCTTTAATCACCACCATGCGTCTTCGAAGTCCTTCGAGAAACCTTGCTCTAGAATTTATCGGTTTTTTGGTTTTGAAGAAGTTTTATGTGAAGGCATTAACACAGTAATCAAGGTTGAATAAGTTCACTTTGTTCAAACATGTTCCCAAACTCGTGTTGAATACACGTAATTGCTTTTTTATTCTAGTTACCTCCAATGTGTCGAAAATTACACAACTGAAAGTGAAATGACTTGATAAAGTCGAATATGCTGGATGTGATAAGTATTAACACCTCGCAATAGCTCAAGTAATGTAACTGATGCATGTCAAATTCTCCCTGGTTGATGTTATTTTGTCATTTTACGCAAGTCGTCAGTGATATTTTGTGTTACCGCGTATTGAATTGCCATCTCGAAAACCTTTTTTTTTCTGAATCACTTTGATATTATAGAAGTGCAAATTGTCAAGCACAGACAAAATCTTTCACAAGTTAGGCTTATTTTGTTCAAATTCAGCTAAGTTTTTTGGTATTCTGAAGTTTAAAATGCCAAGGAATCATTTGACGGAAATCGCACATCCTGCAATCACGTCTAATGTTCTCACTATACAATCGAACTTATTTGGTAAAAACAACCTCAATCAAAATTCCTACAAGTGTCTCTTATTTGCCTTCAGGTTTCAATATTTAATTTAGACATGAATTAGTTTACTATTTTAATGCCATTGCATTATAATTAATCCTTGTAATTTTTAATACTTTTGTTTCAAAAGCTCCGAAACAACGTGAACTTAGTTCTGTTACCTTTTGTGGTCTAGCTTAAGCCAATTTAGTACTTTGCGAAGAGATAGCTACGAACGCTACCAAAACTAGGTCTGTCCAAGTACAGCCTCCCTCAAAAGACTCTCGATTTGTTCGAGTTTAACTTGTTGCTAACCATATCTTTGAATTGTTAAGTGTCGTGTTCTGGCTACTTTTCGTTTTGGTTTAGTCGGGTCTCATGAGCCTTAAGTTGAAGGAGGCCCGCGCACCTGGTGGACCGGGCGATCCGCCAAGCATCACTGTCCAGCGCGAACCCAACACCTTGGACAAGGAGTATGCCAACATTCCCTGGTCAGTGGGCTATGGACAACCACCACCAATCCAACGTTTTAATCAAACAGATGCCCCGTCAATGACAGAAATGAATGCGTCCTGTCCCCATGCATTTCCCACTAACATTGAAAACCACCAACAGCAGCAGCATCAGCAGTCCCACCATGCGGATCCTCAGGCTCTGGCAGCGCTTATCCTGCAGCAGCTTGAAGTGATCAACGACGAAATAAAGATGATACAGGTAGGTTGCAATCTCGAGATTGGTCATGGCACATGCCCTTTCAGGATTAAAAGGCATATTCTTTGTAAAGCCAGCCAAAATTGTCTGTACTTAAGGGTTTGTGTGCATGTTCTGACATACACCATCCCCATGGCGAGGTATTCCTCCGGAGCGCGCATCTCTATTTTGTCCGCGTGGCGTGACTTGTCCGAGGCCTGTCCTGATACTCTGGCCTCTAATTTTGAGTTACATTAACTCTAAGTGTCTTCAAACGGACCACCATGCATACCTAATGGGAATTCTGCAAGGCTATGCTAGCAATTCTTGTCATCTTTATGTGCTGCAAGCCACATGAATTCTCATGTACAAAATGCAGAAGTTCGATTTCAAAAACTGCAATTGGGTTTTTTTGATTCTGCTCTGATCAACTTATTTCTGACCACTCGTGACAGATGTTTTCCCAGAAGTAGCCCTTTTTAAGCATTAAACGGCGTTTGCTTAAACAATTGACTTTTGGTTGAAGCCTAATCAAACATGATTCTTTAAGCATTTAAATAAACAAGTTCTGTGTGACCTCAACTTTATTTAAACGGGGACGAGTTCATACCATCGCCTCTGTTCAAGCGCACGCCATTACATTTGTTTTTGGGTTGGTCTCTAAAAGTTTGCATTTCTCATGCTTATTACTTTCTTGACTATTCTAATTGATGTATCTTGTGTGTACAGTTTAAAACTTTTGGGGGCGTCCTGGTGTTTTCAGCCTATCATGGATGAGCAAAGTACATTTTGCTGTCAAACCCGATCAGAAGGCTTATTTCGGTTCCACGATTAGTATAAAAGTTGGTTTAAGTTTAAAAAGGCTAATCAATTGAAATCACTCTAGGAATTGGCGTCTAAAATACACATGACTTTAATCGGTTTTACTTGGTCTTACATTGATGCGTTAAATGATGCATCGGTTGTTGCGAATCGGTTTTCTTCTAATTAAACGAACTGAAATTAATGTAGGTTACCTCAGCAAGGCAAAATTGACCACACCCACGCTTACTTTGTGTTTTCGTTTAGGAGGAAAAGAAGAACACTGACGAAAGGGCCAGTGAGCTGAGAAGCCGAGTGACTGCAGGAGCGAGGGGTCCCGGCGTCGAGGCGCGCTCCTCCTTCACCCCCTTCGAGACCGCTGATTCCGGCATCCAGATGGGCTGCTGGTCCCCCACCTCTTCACTCCAGCACTCCATCCACAAGGCTGGCAGTTTTTCGCCGGAGTCGGCTCCTCAACAGAGGCAAACGGCGCAGCCTCAGCCCCCGGGTTACGGAGACCGCGGCAAGTCCAGGGCTCCTTCCCCCATGGCCGCCCAAATGCTGCTGCGGCCTCGTCAGGTTGGCCAAAACCCTCAGTTGTTGCGCTTGCATGTTGTGTTGACTAGCAGGTCCAGAACTGTGAATGTTTCTGCTCTCTATAATTCTGGACTTTGTTAAGTCAAAAGCGCACTATGGCAGGTAGGGTGGTTCAAATTCCGGGGCTTTTTCACGAAATATAAATGGACCGTATTGTAAAAGCAACCGAGTAAAGTGATTACATTAATTAAAAAAATATTCAGCTGAATTCGATACCATTTGGCTTTTTTTCCTGAACCAGTGAAAGGTTTTTTTTAAATTGTTTATTTTGTCATTATTTTTACTTTTATTTCGTGATCTTCACGCGAAGAAAAATGCGCCACAAAGCCTTCAATTTTTTGAGCGTAAGAAAATGGTCCTTACATGAAGTTCGTAACTCAGATTTACCGTTCAAAAACATTACACGGCAAAAGTGTCAAGAAACTGATGTGCCGGAAACTTTGCAGGTTGGCTGCAAGCACATTCATTTGTTGTTGCCGCAGCGGCCTACGAAGGCCTCACGCCCTCTTATTGTATTGTCATCCATTAAAAGGTATTGATGCTTTGCTAAGTTTCACCCTCGTTTTTGTCTTATACAAATATGCGTATCTCAAGGACTTAATAAGTGCCGTCGATGACTGTTTTCAGTAGTTTGTAGTTGTACGATTAAACTAGACTAACCAAAACTGCCTAATGCTTCTTAAGCCTGGATTTGCCGATGTTTCATTCAAATATTACTGTTGTTGCCTTCTGTGTTTTGAATTTTTATCGTCCGTTTCTATCTAGTAGAGGTGTTTAACGTTCTACCAATTGCCCCTAACGCTTCTCTGTTAGTTTTGGAATCATACCTACTAAGTCATTATTTCGTCGTTTTGTTATTTTTTGTAGCGAGATTATGCGGACTCCCCGCCGGGCGAGCAATTCGCAAGCGTCCCTCCACCACCTAGGCGGGCTCACCAACCTGGTTTTCAAGTCCAGAAAAAAGTAAATATACTCTAAATCGTTAGATTTTTCTGATGGCTGGATGGTGCAGTGCAAGGCTGTTCTTTGTTAAATTTGTCTCGTCTTGCACCCAGATAATCTCATCACATACTGCTTAAAAGCCAGACACAGTATTTGTTACATATTTTAAAGTGTTGTAAATGGAATTTGGAAGAAAAGTTAACGATTATGTTTGTAAAGTACTTAATTCCCCCATATTGAAATTTCATCGATAATTTGAATTTATAACTTTGTTAATTTAGCATTTTTAATTTATAGAACGTGAATTTGTAAAATATTTTTTTAACCGATATTTGCACCTTTTACGTTTATTTAGACCTGGCTCAGTTATCCAGAATCAAACACTGCATTTGGAACTGACTTTTTGAAATAGACCCTACCAATTAATTTGCATGTCAGAAATGTGATGCGTCCTCAGTAAGCACAAACGATTACCTAACGGGCCCCGTGTTGTGCCATTTTTTATTAATTGTTTTTGGTTTTTTAAATAGGGATTTCTAGTCGAGCAGAATTTCAATTTCTGTTTGCCATTCTCCTGAAATCTGCGTATGGCTGGTTGCGCGTAGCCCTAAAATCTATATAATCAGTAAGATTGTTATTCCTGAACGCACTAGATCCCTCTTTAGCGTTTATGGTATTTTTAGACTCTGCTAAAGTGTGTTATACACAGTTTCCAATGGTTTTTCAGTTTGCCGTTTAATAATGCTTGATGTTGCTAACGTGGTAGTCGATCATTGTCACAGGTCTATGGCGTTCTGCCCTCTGTTTCGACGAATGTTTTGGTGAGGCCCTCTAGATGGTTGACCTCCCCAAAAGCTATTTTTTGGTATTTTAACACTTATTTGCGTCTATGTGGAATTAGGGCGTGCTTAAATTTCTTACCTAAGTGCTATAGTAAAATAATTTAAATTTGAGGAATTTTGTTTAGTTTCATTTCGTTCGCTTTAGTACACTTATTTCATCTTTCTTAATGAGACTGTTCCTCTCGATAACACGCATACTGTAATTACGGATGCTTGCACTTTACCAGTGCGTTTGTACTACTAATTGGGCCTGAGAGGGGCACCTTTCACGGTCCGCGTCCAATTTTTATGGTTACGTGGACCTATTTACTTAAAGATGACTCTACATCAGTTATTTGTAAGTGCAGTGTTTGCGCTTCTTTCTCCCTTATGCATGTCTTCAGAAATGGCAGATTGTAACTCTCTTCAGACTAGAAGAATTCTGCGCTTTTGCATGAAGCATGCTTTTTTCCTCCTGATAAAGAAAACAGATACTACAAGACGTGTTTAACTGTGTTCATTTTCTATGTGCTGGTGTTTCTATTCTGGATTCACATTAAGCACCTGAGTTTCGCCTATCACTTTTTCCCATTGTAAACCAATTCCTGCAGTGGTTAGCCAGATGAATTCTTGTTTTCTCACTAAGTTTTGGCAAGTCTCATTAATTTTACGAAGGTAAACTTATGGTTACTAGAGCATTTAATCACCTATACGCCTGGACGTGTACATGAAATGACACCATTTTTACCGACCTTCAAAATGTCTCAGCATTTAATACTGCTTTACATTGCATTTGCTTATACGCGTTTGCTTGGATGGATCTACCTTGGCACTGCTGCTTGCTCACTACCAGTTATAAAAAGATTCCTCTGAACTTACTAATAGACACCCTTTTTGTAGCACGGATACGATGCAGAGGCACCTCAACAATCGCAACATTTGGCCCACATGGGACCAAACGAACCTTGCGCACAAACCCTGCCCTCACGTATGCAGACCATCAATCCGCGTGACTTTGTAACAGGTGGTGTACCAATCCCAGTGCAATCTCAGCACCACAGGTTTCCCAAAGATAAAACACATGTGACTGATGTGACGAAGGCTTTCAACGACTCCAGGTGACTTTACACGCCTTTTACCCGCTTCTCTCATCTTCATATATTAAATTGCAAAAGTGCTGAGTCATCTCCCTCAATGAACGTACCTAGATATCACCCTGACGTTACCCTTTCAGTATGCTTGCTTACGTAAACAAGGCTTATTAGCCTTTAGTAACATCCCTTGTGACAGATCAACTTCCTGTTTTATCTCACATTGTGAGCACCTTAAGTATCCGATTACGCATAGTCTAGACTAACCATTTTCTTCGTAGGCTTCATCAGTTATGTATTTAATCTGAAGCCAGTGTCGATAAGTTTCATGTCAAAAGGAACAACATCTGAATATTTTTGGCCAGTACCAAGCAATGGAAATACTGAGAGTTTTGTAGTTAACCAATTATCAACTCTATTTGAAAAGGCCTCCAGAATTTGATACTATAACCCGTATAAATAGTTTGGGGTTATTTGGAGGGACAGAGTGCACGAGACGTGTTAGACAAAATGAAAACGTGGTTTATTAGAGTGTTGCGTTGTTTAATTTTTGCGCGATTCGACTCACTATCTGGCATCTCAACAGTTCCGAAACAATAGCATGAAACCACATTTTAACATTTTGCCATTTTCATAATTAAAACGATTTAAGTGTATCGTGATAGTCCGCACATCTTTTTACGTGCGTCTGTTGATTGCAACTCCACGAGGCGTCATGCAACATGCGATAAATAGTTTTATTCAACTATCTGTTTCGGAAACCTAAAACTGATTCCCCTTTAAACTCAGTAGTTTAATTTAAAAGGTTAAATATGAATCACCTAATCTGAAATGATTCTGATACCTACTTAGCCTACGAACCGAGCGCTTGAGGAATCACTAAGTCCTATTTTGTTCATGAGGTCCTTTTCGTAGTCAAACGACTTTAACATCTCCTCCCGTATCGATTTTCTTTAAAAAAAACAGGGTGCTTATTGGACAGTTTGTTTGATCTATTAGATCCCAGCTTAAAGGCAGTCAATGTTGTTAGGTTGGCCATTTGGGGGCTTGAATAAGCTAATATGCCTTTAACTCAGATGCTTTAAAACAAAACTTATTTCACAAAGAACAAACAAATAATTAAAAGAAGCAAGATTTTTTAATTGCAAATAGTTTTCCTCTCATTTTCAATCGAGACTTTCAGTTTTTCCGATTTTATTTATTCTCCATTTTTCTGAACAGTTGTATTTTTTTTTAACTAGGCCTGACCACTGCGAGAAACTTACAGGGAATCCGAACGAGGGCCCCCCACCTCGATTTATTAAGCGGTCTGAAGACGCCTTCTGGTCACCACCTGGAATTTATTTCTCCCAAAACGCACAGACAAGCAATCGCTCTCCATCTGTCTCGGCATCGGGTTCAACCACGGTTCCGCAGGGGCTCCAGCAGCTGAGTCAGAGACAACGTCAACTAGACGCTGTGGACACCTCAGCGACTCAGTCGAACCACCAAGGTGACACCTGCTTTCCCATTTGAAATGAATCACTAATTACAAGAAAGAGATTGGAGAGTGGTTGTCTAAGTAATTAAAATCAGCCCAAAGCCGGCATAATTTGCCATATTCTGTTTGAAGAGTTAATAGATTCCCCTTTGAGGGTTGAGACGTTGGATGGTTGGTTGCCTCGGCACCATGTCTTTTGTGTCACAGCTTACTTCTGTACCCTGTCAGTAATCTATTCTAAGTGAGCATTTTGCTTTGCAGATAGAAGCCTGCCCCGGGATATTGTCCTTGATCCGGACAGGAACAGAACTAAATGTTGTCAGTTTTTAAATCAGGAGGAGAAACGGTGGCAAAAAGGGTATGTAGGAGTCACATTTTTACACACAACCTACACAAAATTTGCCTTCTAAAATCTGTTCTCCCATATTTACTATCAGCAATTTCCACCTAATTCCTTGTCTCATTGCAGAGGGGATTTGATCGAAACCGCTCTTCGAGCAAAAATACCATTTGCAATGTGGAATAATGCCACGGTTGTTGCGTGGCTCGAGGTAAATTTACCTGAATTCTGGGTAACCGTTAATTTAACCTTTGCATAGTATCCAGTTAGTTTAAGTCGCTTAAAACTGTTATTACTGTGGAATGTTAAACTGAAAAAAATGCGATTACTGTTGCTTGCTTTCGTGGAGAACACAATCTGAGTAACAAAAATGTTTTTTTCCCGTTACGTTAGTTGTCTGAAAGGCATCTATAAAATAAAGTAGAATTAGCTTACAGCAGTGTTATACAACAGTATTAGATAGCTGCTTGATACCGGTATTTGCGCATCCTGAAACTCGTTAGAATCCGTCAATTCCCCAATTTTGTGTATTTACTTTTACAAATGTCTCTTCAATAATGATAACTTTTAGAATAGCGTTAGTCGTCGATAAGGCTGTTTTGTGGTAGGAAAAGCAGCTTACTGTCTTTGCATTATTTGAGTTATGTCTGCTTCCAAATCTGGATTAGTAAGCCTAATTGCTAATGATCAAGTCGTTAGGTATTTACTGCTGCAAACATCTGTAATTTCGCTATATCAGGATTCTATTAATTAAGTAATATCAGTAACTTTTCTACTGTTAACGACAAAGCATAATTCTTGCAAATGTTTAATCAAAAATTTAAAAACAAAAACACACTTGAATACGGAAGTGATGTGTTACATTATATTACATTCCAATATATTCTGAAATTACTGTAAAAAGTAAATCAATGGATTCGGTCTTATCTGCAGCAAATTTTGCATGTGTAGAGTGATGGTGTGTCTGAATCTATGTACACTAACATCGACTCAAAATTCACCACTTCCGACAGCTTTGAATTGACTATAAGAGGCTTGACGAATCCATTTTGCACAACACCCGAGTCATTTCTCAGGTACGATAAGTAGCCCAACAATGCTTCATACTTCCCTAAAATCGATCCAGCTTATTGCTACAAATTCACAAACATTTAACAGGCTGAAAAAACGAGGTGTAATTAGGAGTTAGTTGAGTTTTGAGAGTCTGGCTTGGTGGTGGCGTTGACAAGTGTAGTCGCATGTCGTTGAGCAAAGTAGGAATTTGTCACGTGAGCTAGCCGGTAAATTTGGCGAATATGCGCCCACTGACCTACGACGGTGGGGGCAGGCAGAGGTGTCGGAGGTCCCCCACACAATCTCCAGTTTTTTCTTTAATCCACTAAATGCCAAGTATCAGTTCTTGTTGTTGTTGCTGTTTTCTCCGGTTTAGCATTGGGTCGGCATGCCAGCCTGGTACGTTGCGGCCTGCAAAGCAAACATCACATGCGGCGGTATGATAGCTTCCCTCTCGGACCAGGAGGTGCAGCGTGAATTGGGCATCAGCAACCCACTGCACCGACTGAAGTTGCGCGTCGCCACTCAGGAGATGATGGCTCTTACCAATTCTGATCAGCCTGACCCATATCGTGTTACTGGTGCTCCCCCTATGGATCTTCCACTCTCCCAGGTATGGGCATGCACAAGATTCGCGATTAGCAGAAGCTGTTTGCTCTGGTTAATATTCACAAAGGGACAGTACTGAATAGGGCTGGAAATACGGCCTTTACTACAACATGCTGGACATGGATGATGCTAAGATTTCCACCTCTCTAGCTTATGAATAGCAGCTTAGATAAACATTTTGCCTACAATTCATTGTTAGCCTGCGTAGACTCGGGAAAATATCTCCAAACCCTCTGCAAGCCCTGAAGACTCCGACTGTTTAAAATTCCAAACGTAATCGCAAACTTCTCGCGCTTTATTAATAATTCTAACGTAAAACTATTTATAGAGTTTTGTACTTAGAATCAGGTCCTCGGTTTTGGTAATCACAACTTACTTCTACCTATTGAATAAGGAGGCCATAAGGTCGTGGGCGTGAAAGCCTCCAAGTCGTAAATTCAGCAAGGAACGTAAGTTTCGAGGGCCCCTATTAGTGCGCTTCCTCGTAGACATCGCTGGTGCTGTAATTGCGTATTTGTTAGAAATCCGTGACAAATGAGACTACCTTGTTGTAATGTTTTGAAATGAACAATTTTTGTGGCCTTTTGGCAATGTCAAGGCATTTCACCGACAGGGAGCGTGAAAGTTAAATTCACAACTTAAAATTAATTCGATTTTTTGAAAAATTGCTGAAACTTTGTTTTCTGTTCGAAGCAAGATAATGTGTCGTTCTGCTTAAATGCTCGAGGATAAACTTTGAATGAATTGGCAGCTTACGTTTTATTCCCTGGTAGCTTAGACGTATACCGAAAGCGTAGCATGCCCGCCACAACTCCTTTAACCAATTTTTATCTTGTTGCTGCATCCCAAATGTGGCCCTGAACCACACAGGAGCCACCGCATTGTGCATTGGCCGATTACACAATGCAGATATCCACGAAAATTAAGCAGATCGGTGATGGTGGTGACAACCGTTTAGTAGATAGTTCAACCTAGTTGAGCTTATCGCACCACTGTGCACAGAGTCATGTCTGACTAACGGGGTCTGGACGAACCTATAAAAGTACAAATGGCTGAAGGGAGTGAGTTGGTGGGGAAGGTAGATGCGCAGGATTGTATGCGACCACGGTTCCGCATGGCTGACGGACTTGTTGTGCAAAGGGAGGGGGACGGTGGGACGGAGAATGCGACGACCGGGTTAATGCACGCTAATCAGCACGGTTCACTACAAAGTGTTTGCATGCATTATTATTTACTGATCCAGTTTGGGGCTTTCAACTGTGAATGCCTCCGTCGGTATGCTCTTTTGTTATCGCCGAAGTCCATCGTTACGTGTTCTCAATCACCACACCGGTTGTTAATACTTTCTCTTCGAATCTTTCTAATTCAGACCGCTGCTTGGGGTGGTGACTCATTCGTTTTTATTTCAAAAAAGGAACTTTTGATCTAACAATGTCTGTTGTAAAAATAAACAACAAAAAAAATTGTTTCATCATTTTTAGCTTTATAAATTACATGCAATAAATTTGTGTTTTGTGTGTTACTTCAAACAATCCCGCTTTAATTGTTTTAAGTGCTAATCCTTTCTTCCAATGCAGGAATCATTCGAGTCACCAGCTACACATAACGTAAGGGCGTAATGGAGCGCTTTTGCGCTGCTCCTGTACGCATTCAGTATGTTACACACACACCTACCTGAAACTCACAGCTTACGTGGAAATTATTTGCAAATTTCTGGTGTAATGGATATCGTACTTCAAACGCAATAAATTGATACGATTTGTCCTTGTAATTGACTCGATAATGTCTCAATTTTACTCTCACTAGGTAAATTTGAATCACGAATGGGTAGGAAACGTGTGGCTCGCCAGTCTGGGTTTGATTCAGTATCGGCGGCAGTTCATGGAGTGTCTTGTTGATGGTCGGATGCTGGAGCACCTAACAAAGCGTGACTTGAGGATGCACTTGAAGGTGGTTGATGGCTTCCATCGGCTCAGTATTCAGTGTGGAATAGCTCTCCTAAAGCGTTTCAACTACGACCTCGAGGCCATCGAAGAACGACGAGTTGCCTGCCAAAGTAGAGATTCAGGTAGTACTAATCTTAATTATGTTTCCAATCCAAGTGCCATAGAGTTCATCCTCTTCTTAGTGCTGTGACCATATGCACATGCGGTGCGATTCATCGCCATTCCTGTTAATACATTAAAAACTAAGACCCAATGGTCACAAAGCTTTTTGCTGGACTGAAGTTCAACGGTTTTTTCTTTGGATCACCAATGTATGTTTATTTGGTGTTAATGTGCATAGTTAAAACGAGCATATTATAATGAGTTTTCTGGCTTTATTCATATGTTCTCAGTTTTCAATCAAGACGCTTGTTATTCCATATTTGCAAAAAATAGCTGAGGCGCTGGACCTGTCTGAACCCATTGTGGTCCACTGTTTCAGCAGGCAAACTCGTTATAATGGTACTGTTGAGCCGTTATAGGGACCCTTAAACCTCGTCTCATTCTCCAAGTTTTCCAATTTCGAAAATTGGCAATGACTCAATATACCAGATTCCGTTCATGAAATGCATCTTGTAATTTCGGTAGGTTAGCGACTCGTGCAAGAAAAATCGCTAAAGAGTCGGCTAATTCGAAATAACTTCAAAGTATCCCTAGTTCAAACTCCACATTCTCGAATGAGAGTTTAAAAGTTTTCTATACACTTTACCTAGTAACAAAAAAGCCGTTTGTTTTACTGGCCAACCCCGTGCCAATGATATCTAGTGAAGCAAAATTGAGGCTTCTAATGTTGCCGGTCAAATCTTTCATTGTTCATCGCTCGAATGTACAAAGCGATCCAATTCCCTAAGTCAAAAAGTTGCAATTAGCTAATTATTAACCATGAAAACTGTGATGCAAATGAATAGGCTTAAAAATCAGCATTTTCACCTTTATCTAGCCACAAATCAGATTGGTGTAGTCCAATTATTGTGCAAAGAAACATAGCATGTTTTCTGTTACCATTACGGACCTGAGCTCAATGTTTGCCAAGTTTATTTTCGTTCATACGAACCTCCGACTTGCGTCCCTATAACTGTTCGGTAATGTCCCATTCAGACATGATTGTTTGGACCAATGATCGCGTCACAACCTGGCTCGTCTCCTCGGGCATCATAAGTCCCAACATCAGCCTCGAACAATCGGGGTTGCATGGCGCTGTGATTGCCCTCGACGCTGACATGGACACCCCTTCCCTTGCCACGATGCTGCAAATTCCAAACTCCAACGTTAAAGCAAGGTAAGCTTTAAACGTCCGGATTTAAAAAGACCCCAATGGCAATGTAGCATGACTTTGTGCATGTGATTGGTTTAGGCCACGTTAATTCACATCATGTGTGCTCACGATGCTGACGTAACGATGCAAATAACCCATTCAAGGGCATTACACTGAAGCTCGGCGGATAATTTTCCTACTTTCCAATGTTAGGGTTGTTAATGGAAATAAGTCACGAAAGGCAGTTCCCTGGTTCGTAAATGGGAGGCCTAGTTATAAGAACTAACGAGCCAGTTTCCAGAGTGTAAACAAATATTCACGGGAAACGCGGCAACGAGTTGGGGAATAAACTCAAAATTTGCACTTTCGAGAACCAATACTTCCGAGTCAAGACAGCCAACGTAAAAGAAGCACTTTTTTCCAAAATACTTGATAAAGGGACCAAAAATTAAATTAATTTTTTTGGAAAAATTACATAAGCTTACTCAAATAATTTCTACTTATCTTAGATGCCTAACCCAAATCCAAAGAACACTGCACAAGTCGACAGATTGTTTAATCACACTACTTTCTAGAATAACGGAAAGGTTAATTTTGAAATTTGTAGTACTTTGGTCGCTTTATATGGCCTTTTGGAGAACCTGAAGTTTCATTGTAACTTGCAAAAGATCAAATATTTAATTAGCTGATGTACTTTAGATTGATCATTTACGACCACACACCAGTGCGCTCATGAACCCACAGAAAGGATTTCAGTTTCTTACACAGCCTGCTTACGACTACGTGCCTGGTATTTGCTTGACAGCAAAATACACTCGGTAAATCGTCCACTTTTGTGCATGTCTGCCGAGCGGGAACCTGAATGGGGAGGTTACTATTAGCCTCTCTCTCAGGGGTGGCCACACCATCAGACCTGGCGACCAGACAAAAGACAGAAGATGAGTAGTAGAAGGGACCTGTTGTGTTCCAGACTACCTTATACGAAAACAGAGAGGCGTGGAAGCAGGGGTGTCTAGGTTGACTTGCGGCTTGAGGGAGGACGGATGGCGGGAGAATACATTCGTGACTTCATTTCAACTTGACGCGCATCCAATTTCTGAGCCTAAGCTTGAGTCAAAGCCTAATTGGATGTCACAACAACAACAACATCAACACCAGGGGACGAAAAACTCGATTGCTAGGGATTTTGTTTAGTACAGAGTAGAAATTAGTGTTTATTTTTCATTTAGAGAGCTCCTTGAATACCGCCTATTCAACTTAGTCAAGCCATACCGAAGCCTGCGTCTCTCCTACATTAATTTAGACAATCCAGCATTTTTGTCTGACGACAAGGTTGAAGAATATCTTTGGGGGGACGACGAGACTGGAGAGGAGGATGAGGCCCGGGAGGTGTAGGCGATGCCTGAAGACCTCTCGGCGATCAACTACAGAATCACCAAGCAGGGAGCACCAGTAGGTTATCATAAACATCTGTGGATTTCCATGCTAAGTCCCTGTCTGATTTATTGAAATGAGCAAATTCAGGTGGTTACATCTTTAATTTTTACCAACAAGAACCGAATTCTAGCAATGACAAATCGACTAAAAGGTATCCTTTTGTAAACTCTTGACCCAAAAGTTGGGTCGGAGATGGAATTGTCCATTTAAAAGCACAAAGAAGTGATGAATTTGTTCGAATCAAGCTTCTAGAGTATAGTCAGTTAAAATGTTTTTGTTTGATCTTCAAAATGGTGTGAAAAATCATCTGTTTTATACATAGAACTCACAGCATGGTCATGAGAATGTGCAAATTGTGGTCTGATTTTAATAGATAAATCGGCTTACTTTGTAGTAGAACCAGGTCACTGAGTCACGGACCGCTAAACTCGATTTTTCGAACTGTTTGTGCTGTTTTAAAACAAAAAATGAGATTGGTTAGACAATTGAAATGTTGCTCTTTAAATTTTTTGGTAATTGACTGTATACTGTTTCTACTACAACCCACTTGGTATTCGATTGTTCTTCAAAACGGAGTTAGAGATGTGAGGAAGAAACCAAAAATAAAGGTTTGTTTTTCAGTGTATGAAACTAAGTGTACAATCACTGATTTAATTTATTTTGAGTTGACTCACAATCTAATGCCATGTTAAGAAATTAGCTGCGAAAAACTTTGATTGAATTTTTAAACAGTGGACGTCTGGCACGCTTATCACTGATCCACATTCGAACGCTGCGTCACACGCCTGCAAAGCGCTCAAAAATGCTAACTTTATTTGCATGAGTGATGTGTTTGTCTAGGATAGATCTCAGTTTCTAATAATTTGATTTTTTTTCAGATATGAAGTAAGACAGGATCAAGAAATGAAGCGTGTCAAATTACAAGTCTTAGATTGTTTCTACCTGTGAAGTGTCTTTCAATCTCAACTAGATTTGTCTGTGAAGTACAAATGGAGCATCTATCATCTTGTACAGAAGTAATTTATTTCCTTGAGCAAAACAGGCGCTTTATCATTAAATCAATGGTATGAATCAGACAATGTACAATGACTGTCATTCTCAACAATTGTTCATGTTCGGACTTAATTTAATAAATATTCTGTTCAATGGTCAGTGACAATCAAAAATTTACCTTACACCAGAAATCAACGGAAAAAAATGTTTAGTGGCTTTGCGTGATTGCAAGTGCTTTATTTTGTCTGCCGCCGGTATTACAATATGTACTGCAAAATAATATGGTTTGTAAGCTATCTTGTCGATAATGTACAATAAATTGAGATTCTTTTTTGGACGTTGTCGTTATAGAACTAGGTTCTGACAAGCTTGGACATAGTACAAGCCATGAGATCAGTCTAAGTTTGCTGAATTTGCAAAATTGAAGTAGGCAGAGATTAGGATAGTTCTACGTGGTGACAAGTCGTAGCTTAGGTAAGGATTTAGCAGAAATTGGCTTGGCCTCGACCCTGCAATAGTTTTCAACACAAGGAAACGGTCAAGAGAAAAGGCTGAGTTAAGCAAATTAAAAATGTTGCGAAGTTAATGAAAGCTAGTGTTAAGCCAAAAATGAATGAGAAGAGAGCACCTTGTGCGTTGACTTTTTAAATAGGGCTTAGTAGGTGGGAAAACTGTGGTGCATAATTTTTGTAAATTCGCCAAATACCTACATGTAGACGGTTGAACTTGATTACGATAATTTCAACAATGGCCTTTGCTGCGTTATTAAGTTTCGATCGCTCGGTATTGATCTCTGGCCTATACGGATGCAGATAATTACAAATTCTGTAACGTCACGTAGATTCCTTAGATGTGGAATATGGTCACTGCATTGGCGGGTTGCGAGCAGCCAGCAAGCACAGTCAGCAATCGTAAGCGATCGCAATTAGCAAGCGTGATCAAGCACGATTCAGTCGATATTAGTGAATGCACTTCACACAACTACGTGCGTTCAGAGATCGATGCTTAGCGAAGCTGCATAAACGCATTTGTTATCATTTACACACACACACACACATTTACCGCATCAATATCTAGGGCTACGAGCCATCTAAATTTCTTTTCTCCTTCCCTTTGGGCCGTGCCAACGTAGATTGTCGGCCTGGTGTGGTTTCCAAAAACCGCAACTGAGCTCGCTGTATGCGAAAGAAATATTTATTAGACCACTTAGCTTGGTTTTGTACGTAAATCAGTGTACATACAGATGTCTTATTAAAACTTCACCTTGAAACCTTAACACAGGGCTCAAAATGACTCAGCTGTCTCTTATTAAGCGTCGGAATCTTAAGCATGTCTTCAGTGAATACAGCTATTTAGCTGTCAATAACAGCCTACCGAACCACAACGCTTAATACTGCTAAGGGAAGAATTGAAAAATACACGAATTTAAAAAAAAAACTTTTTTTGTGGAATCTACTAGTTATGAATATTTACACCTTATCTTATTTTAGAATTCGACTTTTATTTGTAAGTTTACTACCTTTCGGGTAACCCTTTCACGTTTCGTCTCCTGGTCAGTAAAAAGCAAAATAAATTTTACGTTTTTAAATTTAAACTAGTTATTTAAATAAATTAGCTAACAAATATTTACCTCACCGCCTTATTTTAAAAAAATACGTTTGTTTATTTACACCTTGAGTATTTCAGGATTTGCGCTTCTTTGAAAAGAACAATAATAAGGGTTACTACGGTAACCGTCCCTTTGACAGAACTGGGTGTCCGTTCCTAACTAGTACTTGGTAAAATCGAAAATAAACGTAGCTTTTCCCAACTAACAATACTTTGCAATCTTCCAATACTTACTAACGCTTAGATAAAGGCTGAATAAAATATCGATAAGTTTATATTAAATTATTTATTTCTGCCTGTAACTACCTCAAAAGGCGATTGCTTTAGAAGTATGGTAACCACAAAGTCAGTTTTAGGAAGAATACACACTAATTCAAATTCTTAGGTTGCTAATGGTGGGTCTTTGCTTATTTTACAATCTTCAAACTACTTGTAAAGTTTTAAATGTAAATAGACCTTTGACTAACGAACTAAAACTGGATCTCTAACAGCCTTCGATTTCAAAAATAAGGCATTTGAGTTTTAATAGGAATAATACTGGTTCTAATAGTCGATTACGGATTTATAGTGCTTCAATTGGAATTGAACGGGGTTTTTGATAATTGATTGACGTCACCAACGGATATTTTTTTTCAAATCGACTTTTAAAATAAGTCCTTAAAATTAATAATTGCAATAAAGTTTTCTCTTAGTTAAAATTATATCAATGGGATTGCACTTAATAGTTTTATCCGTCGAGTGCATATTTATCATAGGTTGCAAACAAATTTTAGTTATTGTTCTGGGTTAATTCCTGACATTTTTGGTCAGTTTTCAATATTATAACTGGGAATGAAAACAGGAAAATGATTGAAAGTGAATAGTTGAAACATAAGAGAATAAAATTATCATTACTATTTTATTTTTTATATCTGCCTTTACATATTCCATGATTTCTTGGGTCACTTGTTAGTGAAGCACTTACTTCAATGTGTGGAACCATTTTTAAATTTTTATAGTATTTGCGAAAACGATTTTTGGATTTTGATTCTAAATTAACAATTCAATTGTGTTCATAATTTAGTAGGTTGGTTTTTTTGTACCAATCATAATTTTCAAACTAGTTGTCATCTTATTTTTCCAACATAATGACTTTAATTAGTTTTTTTATGTCAAAATAAAACTTATTCCAGTTTGCATATTTTGATTCTGACGTTTTCTTCGAAAACCAGCGAAGATCATTTGATTTCCAAGTAGTGTTTGATATGTACACGAGCATGCAAACAGCATGTTTTATTAGTATTATGAGACTGCAACCAGCCCTTTAATCGAAAAGTGAAAGGGTTCCAAAATCTTCCTTTTGGTTCTATTTTCACTTAATTCCATGAGGTTTTGCGTTAAAGAAAATTAAACTTATATATGAACAGCTAATTTGACGTTTTATTTAGCACTTAGAATGCATATCACGAGTTAGTCTGATTTTCTTGAATGTTTTGCAGCAGCAATGATGATGTGCGAATCAAATGAAAACACAGATCTAGGAACGCGCTCTACGCCAAAGTTACCCAGTTTTATTGATCCTTGCAAGGTAACCTTTGGAGTCCCTCAGGTCAGAGGTGCGTTTACATACATAATTGCCGAATGGGGTCCTACAAAATAAGATAAAGCTAATTTCGTTTATCGTTCTTTGGAATTTGTTTCAGTTCGCATGTTTTAATTCTGACGTTTCTTTCAAAATCCAACGATAAGGTTCCATTCCTAAACAGCGTTTGATATGTACTCGACCGTGCAGGCAAAGGTGTCAAGAGCATGTTTTACTAGCATGCGGAGACTGTAACCAGTCTTTTTAATCCAAAAGCAAATTTAAAACGTTTCAAAAGTATTTACTGTTGACTGTTTGTTAGGAAGTAGGAAAACATAGATTAGATTCTATTTTTTCAACTGTAGTATACGCAAATATTGAGTACTTTTGTAAAGACGGGAGTGAAAGATAGTTTTTAAATCCATTTTTATGTGTTACAGAGGCCCTTATAATTACGAAAACATGTAAATTAAATGACGACTTAGTTCAGAAAAATGTGGTGTTAAAAATAGAGGAAGAGATGTCAAATAGATTTAATGCAAGTCTACAACAGCTTATCAAGCAATGGTTGTGCCCGTTAATTACACTGAAGGCATCGTTATTCAAAGTAAATCCAAAATAGGAATGACCATAGCTGCGAGCATTGTAGCCGTTTAAGCACTTAGTTTACCCATGAATAACTACAAACAGGTTTATTCACGTCTTAGAAAGCTTTTTTAGTTAATTGAAAAAAACACCTGATGACCTTTTGCTATAAACACTTATTTGGAAAAATTGTGTATCCTAAACCTTTATGGCACTTCTGTCAAGAATAGTGGTCACAACCGCCAAAATCCTGATTAAAGGGATAGGTACTGTAACTACAGAATTCTTAAAATGACTATACTAGATTACGTGGTTTTTCTGGATTTTTGTATTTTATTTCTCATATGTGCACAACAAGCGAATGTGACACAAATGTTTGCCTTAGTTGTGTAAACAAACATGGCGTAATGTGTGAATGTTACATTCCTGTTTATGATGTATGGGTCTTTGACAGTTGTGTTAAAAGTATACATACAATTTGAAGTTATGAATCAGCAGTACACGAGCAGAGAGGAATATTCGAACGAAGTATTGTGATTGACCACAAAATTATCCTTGAGATAATTATTCGGCCAACAGAAAAGACTAATTACAAGTTAATGGGTAAATATAAATGCACAGGGTGCAGAAATTGTGGTCTCAACAAAAAGTGTTTCGCTTCATGTAGGTCTCATTTACTGAGGAACTTAGTTAATTTAGGTTAATGGCTCCACCCTAGCACCCCTCAATCTCAAGATTGTGTGCTCACACACGTAGGAACTCCATGTGAAACGTTTTCATCAGCATGTTCCTCTGTCCGAGGTCAGATTTTAAATTGCTAAGATGTTTAGGGCAATGGTGGTAGTAAGGATGCGCATATTTCAACTAATGACCGCAATGACTTCTTTGGATTTTCTGGTTAGATGAAGGTGCAGCGCCGCTGCTAAACCCTAATATTCGAAGAATTGATGTTCTCAAGAGTGAACAGGAAGACCGCAAAAATTATCTATTGCCTTACTCCCGACTTTTTCCTGGTGAACAAGTGAAACGTAATTATAACGACCAGTAAGTTTGTAATTGCTCCTATTTCAAGTGAGATGATTTTTTACTCTTATGAAACGTTCTGATAACGTATGAAATTTAAATCTACAACAGCAATAAGTTATGTGTAAAATCTATATGTGCAAGTTACAAGCATTGAATATTCAATTTCCATCAATAGTCGTGTCGCGTATTTACTGCTAAAGTCTACACACGACATTTTTGTTACCAAAATATTTTTTGGTCTTTAATAGTTTTAGCCCCTTTTTCGTTCGTTTTGTAACCTCAGTCTAATTTTTTGGGACTCGTTTGTGCGTGTAAGGCAGATTTTCAGATGGCAGATGCCCTTGTGTTTTCCCTTTATCTGTCTATTTAAAATCAACTTAGGTAGCGCCTGATAGGATATCACTATACACGCTCGAGTTTTTAATTTAACCATGTCGGTAGTTCCACAAAAGCAGAATCAACTCATGATCATCCAAATGCTTTGATTATTCATTGGTCTGAAGTAGTAAATCACCACCGGTCTTTAAGGCTATTTAAATGTTAAAAGACGCCTATGCAGTTTACCACTACTACCTACAGTTCAGTCCCCATCAAGTACTAAGAAAGACATACATGATGTCCAGTTATAAGTACATAATGAGCATGCAGTGGCAAGATTGCGATAAGAATATAATTTAAATTCACTCATTTAACGACCTTCGCATAATCTGGATATATAAGTTTTTACAGCGCATAGGAAAGATTACATTCTTACTAGTGTTAAAACATAACTTTAATTTGACTTCTAGTTTTTCAAAGGATAAACGGTTTGGCTTGGCGACATGCATTGATGAAACAGGCGGTCGTGTACGCAGGGCAATGGACTGGATGAGTGATAAGGCCGAAAAGATGCCCATCGCCTCAGAACGGCTAACCGAGGGTCGCACACCGTAAGTTATTCCATCTTTCCTTCTTATTACATTTAGGATTAAACGCCTTTACCTATAGTATCTGCTCCAAATCGCCGTGTACTTTGCTATTAATTAAGTGGGCTAGGTCGTTCTATAGACGGTGACCCACCGATTCGTTGTGAGGTGTGAGATATTAGAATGAAATCTACTGAATAGTTGCAACCTCTATAGGCGCCTGTTCGCATGCGTTCCTGTCGAGTATAAATTTAGAGTGTTAGCCTTGGTTAGATTTCTGTTAGTGCATGGTATGTTAGTCTTTGCCTCACGTCAACAAATTCGGGAGCTTAGGTTAATTGTGAACGGGTCATAGACACATTAAATCCATGGTACTTTTAAGCATAATGAATAATAGATTCACTATACTTAAACAAAGGTACATTTACCTTGGAGCCTACTAATTTGAAATGTGGTGTTTCTCATTTTGAAAAAAAACTAGGGGCCAGACGCAGGCTCCTGCGGACCCTGCTTTGGGCTTGCCGACTGTGACATCAGTGAGAAATGTTGCCGAACTCATGTACGGCTTAACCCCAAAAAATCTCCTTGGCTTGACAGCTCCGAATGGTAAACCTCTGCATGAGGATGAGTCAGTGGGGCATCTCTGCACAACCTTAACGGAGCGAGAGAGGATCATCCGTGCTCTAATCAAGAAGCAGCTCAGAGATAAGAAGTACAAACGTGGACCTGAGATTACAGCAGTCCTTTGCGACTTGGCCAAAGGTGTAAGTTATGTGGAAAAACTGTTGATAAGTCAATCTGGTCAACATAACAAAATTTTTCGTACAGGAGAAATACATTTCAGGGGCAGCAGCTGAAGCAGTTTATGATGCTTTCGAACCACCACTTGATGATGAACTGCGCGAGCTACTCTTTGACGTTGTTCGTGGAGAAAATTTAAACAAGGAGAGTGGTGGGGAAGAAAATGAATCTAAGACCATAAATTGGAAACTTCTGGCCAGTATCCTTGATCCCAATCGGATTCAACCTTGGGAGAAATCCCCTCAACATAACTGCATTGATGAATACCCCTGCTTACCCCAGATAGCTGAAAGTATGGGCTGGTGCATTTATGGTCCATATTTTGATTTTTTATTTATTTTAATGTCCAGCAGTTCTAATAAGAGTAAATGTTTTAAACTGAATATTTGCAGTCAGTTGGCGTTGTTTTATATCCTTAATAATTTTCATATCGTGCATTTTACACTGATTAATCAATTTTGAGGGGGAACTAAATGGTGATGTAGAGGCCATAGTAAATTGGCTCTAGCTTCTCTCTAGGATTTACTTCAAGGGAACTCATGGTTACAGTGAATGCATTACATTTAATGAGTCCATAAATTGATTTAAATTAAACACGTCACTATTTTCAGTCAATAGAATTAAAACATATTTCGTGGGACACTTTAGGAAGACCATCAGTGCTTTTGTTCCTAGTGAATAAGTTGCCGACTTTTAGATTCAGAGGCAGTACGATTAAGAGTGGCAAAATCCATTAGAACAAGAACTAATTTGCAGAAGACGACGACTCAAGTTCATCACGGAAATCGTCACATAATGAGCAGTGGTAAACTTTGGCGTTCACTAGGACTTCCATACCAACAAAATAACAACAACGGACCTTTGGTATGTTTCGTGTGTCAATTTTCCTTGTATTCTTTGGATAACTATGAGAGTTATTATATTACCTAGAGAATTTGTGCTTAGCAACGAGACATAATGTAAAATAACGGTTAGAATTAAGCTATTACATCCTGTCTTTTTGACGTCTATATTCAAATTGATTAGTTAATTCTGATCATTTTTTAATAATTAGGATAGGCTCTAGGACCAAAATACTGAAATCGTCAAAAAGTAATTTGCTTGTCGAATTTACGGCTGGTGGTGATGTAAGCAATCCGCAGGGTGATGAGGTTAATTTTATGACCTAGCCATCAAATACACATGGTCATCTCAAGAATACGAATTTGCCTGGTGCTTTCCCCTCTTTGTGTTCTGGCCTTTCACACCAATTCGACATATCCAAAGCCGACCTGTTTGTCCTTCGTACAAAGGATGATGTAAGTCAAATTCGTGGTTTTGGAAGGTTATGTTGACAACTTTCGGAAAATTTAATGGGTAAATTTGGCATTTGAGATGCGAAGACATTGGCTGTTGGCATATCATCTCCAGATTGGTGTTTGTGTCATAATAACAAAGGGCGCTTTAGAAAGGCTTTATCGTTTCCGAAATAGAAGTCGACAGAGAGAGTAAATATTTTATAAAACCCAGCCCGGTTCACGTGTTTACTAATTATAATGGTGGTACAAAAATCGTTACCTTCAAATGGTCCGTGGGACAAATTAAAATCTTCCTTAGAGGAGACATGAGTATTTTGAATTTTATCTGGAATATGAACTTTCAAACCACAACCTAACGTTAATTACCTTTAAGGAACTTAAGATCCCGATTATTGTGCAATTTTAACGAGAATTCTGCACACATGCACCAGTACTTAGGTAGTCAAAGGACATCTCGTCTTTCATCACAATTGTCGACAAAGATATGCATAACACGTTAAATGGAAGCAGAACTTAAACGCTTGTACTTTCTGCGTTTATTGTCGGACATCATTGGGCTTGTTTTAATTAGCAATAGTGTTCACAGCCCTAGTTAGGTTATCGGCAGACTGGTCGAAATGTGAGTCAATTAGCTTAAAACAAGGAAGGGGTTTGCAAGGTCAATGGGACTGAAATCCCAAATGCATGTCCACTAGGTAAACAGCCAAACACGGGATCCAACTCTAAAATTATGGTATGCCTTACAAAGTGCAAACATGTCTTAGGAAAAAAAGCCATTTTAAACCAGTGAATGGATTTTTTAACGCTCCAAGCAAATCCCCAATTAAGTACTACAAGTTTTACGGTAAATGTTCAAGGATCTAATTTACAATAGCATCTTCTTGCGACTTTCAACCACAAAGTATTTGAGTAAAATATCGTTTCCGAAAGAAATTAATTTGCCAAATCCACGTGGAATCCCAGCAGGAATGTTTTTGCGAGCGCTAAAATTCGGCTCTCTGAATTTTTTGCTATAGTGCTGGAATGATGCTTGGACCATAATATTTTATCAGAAAATGACATAGGTATTGAAATTGTGGGTTCTAAGCACAGTTTGCTTGGATCTGGTTCCATTGTCGTCCCAGCTTATGAATGTGACCAAAATCATATCAACCCAAAGGGTATAGGAAAAAGTTAGAAGTTTGTACAAAATGGAGGTGTCTAGTAAAATAGAACTTTAATGTTCGTGCGCCCCCATAATAATTAATATGGTAGTTTAAGCTACTCAATGGTACTATTTGTCCATTTAGTTTCAGACCGCTAGTTTTATTTAGGACTTACGTGACAGTTAACGAAATCCGGCATTTGTTCACTTCGCGATTGTCCTATTCATGTTTATTAACTTCATAAACACCTACGTTGCTAGTCTGTAACGGGATCATATTTATGCTACCGAATTTTTAAACAGAGAATGCATTTTTCCGCTCAGGCAACTACACCATTTTACCACACATACATATCGTTTAAAGTAAATTTACAGGGCAAATCCTTCAAAAGAAGAAGCTCTTGATCCATGGTTGTGACTATTGCCTGTAGTTTTACATCTTAAATTAAGGCAACAGACTAGTAGTGGTTTTAAACTTATCTAGATATATTTAAGGTGCCTTCGCGTCTAATGGGCTGACATTTACAATCTGTTTGAATCTATTAATTTTATTGCCTTTACAGCCATGTCATTGTATTGCATTATCTGGAGACGGTCCGCAAAATTGGACCGAACTAAGTGTTAAGCTCATAAAAAGCACATCTTGTTAAGTAACTTTTTTATGAGCGATGAGTGGACTTCTAGGCTAGACATTGATCCACACTTATGGTTTTTTATATCACAGGAAGTTTCTAGGTGAATGTGTACTTACTGCCATTCGGCATCGTCAAACAGCAAACTAAAGTTTGTATTTTCTTTGCTAGATTAAAAGACTTTTTGAACACAGTGACATAAAGAAGGATATTGAGGAAGAATGCGAGTTTGAGGAGGTCTGGGATCTAGCCAAGGAGTGTGATAGAAAGCGAATGGCAAAACTCCCCGAACTTCCTCACTCCGACCTCGTGACATTGGATAGCTTTTGGCGTGCTTTGCATCATTTGAATCGCAAAACAATCGCCGAAAAAGTCGCTGCCAAGTACAATCCCTGCTGTACCTCGAAGCTATTTGCAGTGGGTGGAGAAATGTCCAAGTCTCTAATAACTCAACAATAGACGATACTAAGTTAATCTGTCATGCCGATTCACCTAGGTTATGACAATAGTGAAAATACAAAAGTGATGTATCATTAGCTTAATTATACTTCCCAAATCCGAAGATCTTGATCTGATGGTGTATCGGTCTTCCTGCATAAGTTGCCCCAATAGGTTACAGTTTTTGAATTATGTTGCTTTTGGCGTTATGCGCCGAGGTAAAAAAAAGCAGTTTGTGACTTTATATCTCATTTCCACTTTAGCTTTTAATAGTTAAGCGTGATTAATGTTTACCGTTGACTAAAGTCACAAATATCAGCCCTGATTTACGGTATGTTCCGAAAAAAAAACATTTTTGACCATCTATTTATGAGCCGTTACTCAGAGGAAAAGTAATGTAAGCTGTGTTTTTTTCGGTAGGAGTGGTTGAACCTATTCAGAAATCTAAACAATAATCTTTTCGGGATGTTGTCATCATGACTGTTTAGAGATTTATTTAAAGAGGTAATCAAAAAGCCATGTGCGTCTCTGTTCACCTCATTCTCTATATCGTTTTTTGTTCCGTCCATCTTCCCATGACTTTTAAGTGTGCCTAAACATATTTTAATATCCACGTACACCCTTCTTGACCGCTGTTGATCTTTAAATTGGTAGTAATGCAAGCATTACTTGTTAACTTCGTTTCAAAATGTCTGGGTTGTCGAAACGTAGTGTGATCTAGATCTCTTAACTAGTTTCAGCATTTCCAGTTATTTCAAAACCTGAAGATTTTCCCTAATCTTTTGGGATCATTGTCAAGCACATTCATTCTTCATCGATTCAGCTCTCACTCTTGGTCGCTCTGCGTCGATATCATCTGCTACGCGAGATAATACATTTCTGAATTTCACCTTGCCCGCTCTGTCTATGATGAGGGACCAGTCAACTAAACTTTTCCGCTACACCCTCAACACGGATATTTTTAAAAAGTTGATTTATCCTTGTTTCCCCCATCGGTGAACCGTTCTGAAATGTCTGGTGGATCCAACTACACATTATGCCAGTTAGACTACGATAGGATAGTCGACTGAATACACCTAGCCATTGTCTCTCCTTGATTAGTCCCTGATCAATATCTATGGTGACTTCGAAATTGAACTTAAGCCAATTTCCTATTCCGTAAAGCGAAAAGTGTTCATTTCCTGGAAGTTTGTGGTCTTCCATTTCAGCTTAACCAAAATACCCAAATGAAATTTCGGAACAAATTTTCAATTAGCGGGAATCCATTAAAAAAATTTTGCTGATCCGGCAAAGGCTTTCCGTTGCTTTTCTTATGTATGGTCTGCATCAGCACACTTTAGTGACTCACTGTTTTTTATCCCGTGAAATGCATTGCATTTGATCAGTTGTCCCACAGGTTGCTTAATCAAAAGAACATTTTTCGTTCATTTCACTTGGATATGTTTCTTCCCAGTTTAAGAGTCATTCATTTAAATCATACCAAGTGTGTTTGTGATTGCGAATATCTGTTTGGATTCATGAGAACCGTTCATGTTTCAAAACGTTAATGGCTAGTAAACAAACGAACTTTTGAGTTCGTTGCGTGGTAACATTAAAAAAGACAAGAAAGATTTAAACATTTACATTGCTTTAATTGACGCTCGATTTCAATCCAGTTACATTTAAAACTGAAAGGGAATATCGGTGGATCGTGAGGACTAATTTCCATCAACTCGGTTGATGCATATCCGGAAACCTCATTTAATAGTCACCGTTTCTTTTCGGCCCCCCTTCCTCAGCATCCTATCGCTTATGCGGACACCTCTGAGCATCTTCTCGTTCGAACATGTCTTCTCGTGTACTTCAGTCACTCATGAGCACACGCGACCACTTATATACCTGACACAAGTATACAACTTAGCCGATTCATCTAGTAAATGTTTATGTTGTCGAGCCCTCTGATTCTATTAACCTTCCGTGGGTATCCTCGTAGCGTAACCGGGCTCATCAAAATTAGCTGCTCCATACCAGAGCCTCCATGCAATCCTTTCCTTTGCTGAAAATATTATACACAATGTGATTTGTGAAAGAAATAAGTTGTTTACTTCACAACGAGGTTGTGTCTGATGACTTCAAAGAGGATCTAGATGAGCTGTGAATTCATGTCACCAGGACGACGCTATCAGTAAAAGTTGCTGCTGTCCCATATGCATCTTACTGAAAACATTTGCAGATTAGGTAGAAAGATTATTTTTTTAAATAAGAAAGAATCTTGTGTCTACAGCAGTTCTGATTGCGAAATACCTGGAAGTGGGGTTTTTCTCAACTAATCTAGTGGTGCAACTTGAATGCTACTATCTAGAGATCGAAAAGATAGATATATCTTGGTTTTTCTCGATAAGAAGTTAGAGTTTTGACCCAACCAGCCTCAGCCTGAATGGCGTAGTGGAAGGCGGTCTTTCAGTTAGCTTGCTGCTTGGCGATTTAAGGATCTGATTCAAGCTGATATTTTTCAACACATAATAGCCATTTGAATCCAGCTTAAATGTGGCGACAACTATTATAAGTTTAGATGATTTTGAATGATCAAGCAATGATACTACCGGACGTACCACGATTGACTACCATTTGAAAACCTATTAAAACTATAAATTGCTATAGTTTCAGCCTATTGGGCACATTTTCTGCATCTGAAAATCCTGTGCATTAAACATGCACCAATGGTGCCAATAAAATCAGTTCCGTGCTTGTTTCGTTTTCGTAGATAGCCACCGTAAACAAAGTGGTCTAGATCTGTGTAAATACTTTGCGTGAGAAAAACATGAAAAACGTTGGTTCGGGATGCATTTAGACTAAAACCCATCTGTGCGACGTGATTTACAGACACTACAGTTGTGTAAGGCTAGTGTCGAAGGGAGCGGCACAGTTAGCGATGTGCTACTTGATTGGAGGCGAGAGTTCTTTAACCCGTGGGATCATAACCCTCACGTGCATGTTGATCCACCAAACCGTGATCGATCCGAAGTCAAGCCACCGAATATCGGTACTGGAATCGACAAATATTCCCCAACAATTTCTCTTATTATACCTTATCAAAAAAGCCTAGATATGTATTGTCCTTAGACCCCAACTTCTGTTGGGTCAAATAAGATTGGTTGTTACAAGCAAAATCAAAAAGGTCTTATCCTGCAGTGCAAAGCAATAAATCTGACCATAAGCCCATGCCAAGGTTGAGCTTTCATTATTTGACTTGAACTTTCTTGTATTTAACAAGGTGCCTAGTCAATGCAATGAGCAATGCTAGTTTCCCAACCTACGACGCTTTATGAAACTGGATACAACTAGGGTCTTGCATTTACATTACGCTCCGGTTACACTGAATATTGGATGTCCGGAAATTTTTACAGGTTAATTTTACGCAAGTGAACAAGGCTAACATAAACTCCTGCTCAGAAAAGAGATGATTAGCTGTGGTGGGTTCCTGCAATTTTTTGTTCTGAATTTTAAGACAGACGCTAGTTCTTGATTCTGTGTTTAATATGGACAGCGACAAACTGGGAGTGCCCACCTAATTTTCTTGACCATGCCGGCAGTGTAAACCGACTAAAAAAGAAGTCTGTGCAGCAAATTGCTCTTAAATTCAGCTGCACTTCGCCAGTAAAGTTGGGACCTTCCAATGTCTTTAGAAGCATTTATTGTGCAAATTAATAAAGCGGCCATGCAAAGTAGCCACATACTTCATCCAACATATGCACACTTCAGTCCGCCCTCCCCCAGCAATACAATACAATCTGGGTGACTTTATGATGCTAATCACAGTAGTGTAGATACTTGCACTCGGAATACACAGCACCAATTAACTAATAATTGATTTTAAACAACTAGAAAGCATTATTTTAAGTAACCACAGCAGTTATACGACGAAGACTGAAGTGTGGAATTCGTTTATTTGTGCTGAAACTCATCAAGAGACACCCGACTTCAAAAGAAGGGAACAATAGGAGAAAGCTGCGACTACGAGATGCAGCCACATGCCTTCCTAGCACTGGGAACCGGTGAGGAGGAATTAAGTAGCCCCATATTTTCCCGACTTTGTAATGCATTTAACAATTTCGAAAGGAATATCGAAGCTGCTGTCGTTTGTCAAGACGATATCGTAGATCTCCATGTACTTATCAAGTAGCGTTTCAACCTGTTGAATAAATTATAAAAAAACTTAATGTTTCGGCTTAACGTTAACATATAGGCTTCTGTAAATAGAAGTAGGCGTGTTTAAGTAGAAAGAACAGAAGCACAAAATTATCTACTCACAACCCTTATAATGGTAGCAGTCACGACAGTAAATGTGCTTCTTTGGTTGAGAAAGCGGTTTAAACAGGCCGTTACAGTTTAAAATCCCCCATTTCTAAGTTTCTTGAACGAATTTCCGGAGTTCTCGGGTTTCCTGAAACAGTAATATGGCGTGGTGGGTGATTAAGGTCGAACATTGCGCCTTTACCAATTACAAGACCCACACTATTTATTTCCACACATGGCGAATGGTAAGAGACAGACAAGTGTTAAGGCTAGATACAAGCTGTTTATGCAGAAACCTGGCGTAAAATCAATTCTGCGGAGGCTCCCACCTAGACAAGCGTCATGTATGCACGGGCCTGTCTCCACAAAATTTATGGACTGGATCTTCTAATCAAAAGAAAATGCTTACCATGATTGGAAACATTTCAACTTTGATGTAACCATTCTCAAGTTTTTAGGCTATTATTACCAATGCTCAGTTTAATCAAAAAGGGGGGATTAAGTACGATAACGAGAACACTTGAGTACTACTACAAAACAATGGATAACTTAAAATCATTTGAGGGAAACCGAAGCATCCTGGCCCTTAAGTAGAAATAATAAAATGAACCAGCCATACTGTACAGAATAATACAGGAGTCGCTGAAGAGCGTCTTCATAAAGGTCTGCTTGAGGCCAACTTACTTTTGAGTTCAAGAAACCGATTCTGAGTATTGTTGGAGATGTGGCCTCATCAGTATCCGAGTCCAAGCCTTCCTCAACCAAGCCATCAGCCATGTGTGGATCATAGGAAGAATCACCCATCAATATGACACAACGTCTTTTTGAAACGTTTTTGTGGAGATCATCACTCAAAGCAACGCTAGCGAAACTTTTATTGAAGGTGTGAATGCATGGTGATCGGAAACAGACAAGTAGTCCCTTAATAAATATGTAAAAACAAGTAACAAACGAGTAACAAATGCAACAAAAACGTGATAAAACTAGAAAGAAGCTCACATTCTTGTCGAAGTTCATGAAATTTGAAATAACCTTAACATTGTCGTAGCGCATGTCGTATCGCTCCAAAATCATTTCAATAACATCCCCGAGACCAGCTGAGAAAACCAGCATGGGAATATTATGCATGTGCAGAATTGACATAAATTCAGGAACCCTATCCCTTTATTCCGAAAATTCAAATAAAGTCGAAAATAATGATAAGTGTCACTTACGAGTGAAGGGAATAGCAACAAAACAAAAACGCGTACCTGAGCCGGAGATTGCAATTCTGCACAGTCGTCAGAAGGGAGTCTTTGTGGACATTCGAACCCACAATAACCTGGTGCGAAAGATCCCACCATTCTAACATGAATGGTATCTTGGACGAATTGGGGATATTTTGATCGAATTCAACTGGAACATAAGTTTGCCTCAGCATACGTAACTAAAACGTGAGAAAAAGACAAAGTACTTTGCTCCGGGCTTCAGTTGTCATCTCTGGGTCCTGTTCGAAAATGCCGTGGCACGTAGGATTCAGTTCCCCATTGTGAAGGAACTTGGACATCGTCCAATCAAAGTCTGAAATAATCTTCAACGAAGCATAACTGACAATAAGAAATCTACCTGAAGGTTATCTTTGCCGAGTTTAGTCATGCGAATAAGTTTAAGACGGACGATACCGGGATTTTTAATGTGAACAGAGGAAGACGTCTAGTCCAAGTACATTAAAAGTTTTAAAAATTTACCCCGGATTTGCTACTGAACAGAGATTCGACCACAGTAAGAACGTTATAGTCGTGCATCGCGGAAACGCCATTAAGACTACAAGGAGAACTAAGCATTTCGAGATTTTTAACTCTTTGATGGAATAAAAAAAGGGAGGACCACAGAGTCAACCTGCCACCTTGCGAAATCGAGAAGTGGCGGAGAACACCGCCAACACTCTCTTAAATCCCCAGTTCGACGAAAAAAACTTAAAACAAAATCACAGGTACCACAGCAGACATTACCAAAAAATTCTGGTTTTCTAAATAATTATTACAATTAAATGCTTAAATTTTACTGCTTGCAATCAAATCGAGCAATGTTTAAAAAATTTCTATAAGGTAAGACTGTTCGAACCTTAGCTATTTCTTAGGCAAATGAATTAAAAATCCATTGAATAACTACCCACGTTTTTAGTTCTCTATGAAAAAGCCATTATTATGGAATCTTAGTTGGCAATGCGTATATTGGAAGAAGTTTTTGTCAACTGTTTCTCGATTCCCAAGCCACGACGAACGCACTGGCTTCGATTACTTTGAAAGAGCATGCTTCCCAGAAACACAGAGGGAAAAATAAAAATGACATATTTTTTTAAGAAAATCTAATGTGGCTTTAAAATTATTAAACAGTGACCATTTTAAAAGACAGGGCTGACTATGTTGCAGAGTCGATCTATGTAGCAGCAATTTTGCTCATGCCTTGAGCTGAGATAATCCTCTGTACTTGTTTCTCTCAGAAACCTACAAGAATGAACATCGAATGAGACATAAAGATATGTTATAACTTAATTTAAAGAGTTTTGCCTTTTGGTGTGTCGGCGAACCAAGTTAGTACTGTAGAAGAAAACTAACACGAGTATGGGACTTCATTATACCCGGTGAAACTGCACCTGCTTTGGCCCGTACCTGACAAGTAATGGAGACACTTAAAATTGCCCAGAACGGTGTGACACTAAAGTAAAGTGTATAGGTGGCACTCTCGGTGCATAAATTTTTCTCAACTATGTAAATTGTTAAATTTGTATGCGCAATTTTGTGGCTAACTTAGGGAAAGGATAAACGAATGGCCTCGTTATAAGGAAATGCGGGGTCATCAAAGTGGCGTCGGATTAATGAAGGTTGTTAGACGATTCTCATTTAAAATTGATATTCATATTATTCAGTTGGTCATGGTATTAATTTATATTCTGGACGCTTAATGTTTACTCACAGCACCATATAGGTGTACCTCATAATAAAGTGGTATGCAATTTCTGTCCACAAATATGTTTTATATGACTGCCTCCTAGCGTATACTTTGGTAACGCTTATTGTTTACGAAAACACATGCACGCTAGTGAAAGCTCCAGAATGTTTTATTCCTACTTTTCAGGTTGCATTCCTTATTCTTGGGCCCCAAATTTTTGAAGAAATTTTTTGCACCCATGTCTGTGGAACATAGAACACGATTCGTAAATATTGTGATTGGGATAGAGGATTGTTTAGTAGATTATATACCAATAACTTAGTTATTTGTTGTTTTACCAGGTGATATCGATTCAATAAATATAAGACCATCAGTAACCCCTGTCAAAAAAGACAAAGCTACGGGGATAGACCCAAATTAATTGTCACAGTCATCACCTTACGATACATTGGTGACGCATCCATTGAAGGAAAGGCATGGAGACACAAAATCTGTATTCGAGCACCCTACACCTCAAACACGGAGTACACAGACACAACTACGTTTGTTTGCTGTGTGTGCGGATGTACAAAGTAGTCCAAAGTGACAAAGTTGAGAAGGCCTCCATGAGAGAAATTAATTCCATCACGAAATGGTCACGAATGCGGATAAAATGCTATTATGCCTAAGCCCGACGCTCTCAAACCATAGATGCATGCATTTGGACAAGTCCCAGTGTGCCAAATTTCAGTGGCCAATAGCCAAATGACAGAAGGTTGCTGCCCGGATTATATGTGCATACGCTGTAGAAAATCGCTCTTAAACACTTGAAAGCTGATTCAGATCCTCATTTGTTTTCTAGAAAGGCTAGACTACTGAGAAGATCAGAATGAAATGTGTGTTTTCCTTACTAAATGGCTATTTGGGCTAACGTCAAAGTCAGCGAAATAGTTAGCTAAATTTAATGACCTCAGATACACACCCCCTTTTTCATAGCGTGCCCGTCAACCATACAGGACCGTCTGCTCAATCAGCCCTGTGCATATGCGGCCTCCACCCGCTTTATTCATTAGAACATTCAGACATTTGTACTTTTACAATTTCACCCAGACTCTATCCGTCAACACACACAGATGCACTACCTTTAAAACATGCGTCCGACACAACTTGGTTGAGTAACACAGCGAACGGTTGTCTCTCTCTTTCCTCATTTCTTCATTGGATGATACGCGTTGTATTGGGCCACAAAGCATTAAATTCCTAAGGCGGCGCAACTTGTTGTCATCGTTGAAGGCGTTATAGTGTAGCGGAATGACAGGCGGCAGCCATATTGGTGACGGTGGTGAGCGCGGCGCGGAGGCGACATCACGTGACCGGTGGTGCGACTTCCGGCTGCGTGGTGGCGTGCGGACATTGAATGACGCGCCGGAGGCTGAGAGCCAATCCGCTCACGAGTTTCTGTCTCCATTGTAGCAACGCGGGACGGACCAATGGGAGAATAGGAAGAACAGAACTAGGATATATAAACCCCCTGTTTTCCCTATACGGACTGACCAGACTCAGACCAGTGTTGCGAGTTTCATCCTTTATTAAAGAAAATCATTTTGTCTCATTCTCTTCCTCACTGTACCATGGGGCCGAAACCTACAATAGTGATTTACTACTCTACGCTCAGCCATTCCTCCGTCTGAATCGCCTGTGATGAAGATCTGCAGCAAGTTGGAGAGAAGGATGGACGTAAAGCAAAATATAATGAGCAACCAGTGTGGTGAACTCGGGTAGACGGTGCCTGACGTACGATTACGGATTTTGGTTGGTCAATAAAGCATTGCCTGTTTTACCAGCCTTCCACATACTAGGGCTCGGGTGATCCTGGTTCCTGGTTCGAAAAAGCGACGCTCAGTGCTCAAGTCCACTCACTGCCCAATGGTCGAGGCCTCGCGATTCACTCGCTTTGAAGGCTTAGACGCTCTCTGTAAGCTGATTAACTGTAATCAAAGATGTTGTTTGAGAAAGCAAAATAAAAAAAGCCACCAAAAATGATTTGCTCATAAATTTGATAGATTTTGACCATTTGGCGGAAAATCGAAGATAAAATTGCAGAATGTCTTATCTCTGCCGTTCGGTGTAAGGGTTGATAAATCCTTTTAGTGAGAACTAATATAGTAGACAAATGTGACAAACACTAGTCTTTATCACTTTTGCATTCCTTGATCACTCCCATATTGTTTGGTTTAAATAATCTCCCTCATCTCGACTTTTTCGTAAATGATTGTGGATTCTTCGAGGCTGGTCGATAAGAAAATACTGCCACTTAGGACAACATAAACTGTAAACTTTGTGGACGAATGCGGAATACGGGCTGGATATGTGCTTTATTTATCAGGCCATGTTGAATGCAAAGGACAGTGTTGTTAGAAGTGCACGTTCTCATTTTTATTTGCAAATGGATTTAGCATTATGACTATTTCCGAATTGCTAATGCAAACAGATAGCGAGCAACTATTATTGCGCAATTGGTTAGTTTGCTTATAACCTTATAGCCGTGAAATACTGGCCACAAAACAGTCACAAGCATTTCTATTTTCGTAAGCACTTCAGATCCTGCTAAAAGCCTCCACAAAATTATCGGTCAAATTCCTAAAAATTTGTTCTGCTGCCAATGTAAACTTCGGTTTTAAGGAATTTCTGTTCAATTAAAAGCGTTAAGGCACCATCTAAATTAGCGCAAACTGATGTTTATCAGGAAATAAACATCGACATGTGTGCTTCATCAGATGCCTGGTTACAGCCAAGTAGGACGCCAAATTTTAAAAATGATTGAGATCAACTATAATTACCAAATCAGATGAGCTGATTAATACAATTGAGCTTTGTTAAGACTTAGAACTTTATTTGGTAGTCGTTTTATGAGGTCGTTGGAATTTGATGTCATTTACCCGGCAAAAAATTCTGCTCGCTGCTTCGAGAGTTGTATTCTACATGGTGTACTACATTATGTGTTGAATAGTAGTAAATTGGTAGGCTAAGTGTTTGATGGGTTAGTTGGTGGATCGCATGCATAGTACGAAGAAACAGATTTAAAATAAAAGCAAACGAAAAGAAAACAATTTCACAGTAGACCTGAAGGCAAATTCCGAAATGTGAAATATTTTCTCACTTGGGTTTGAGCTTGACGAATAGACGTTTGGGCGAAATGGCAACTTACTTAAAGCTATGTGGGTTTCCAAACGATCAGCTCGGCCTATTGATTTTTGTTTGAGAGCCTAAAATGACTTGTATTAGGGTATACGAGTGCACAGTAAGTGATGCATCACCATCAGTAGAAGCCTTTTATCAGTATCCAAACACTGGATCCTCACTCACACATTTCTGGGGCTACATATCTACCAAAACAGCACTGTAAGTCAGTGAATACTGGTCTGTTATTTTTCGCGTAAGGTGGTTGCAAAACGCGACAGTTGGTGTACTCAGTAGCAATTCATTCGACCCCGTAATCGTTAAACATGATTCGAC